CGGGATGTGCCGCAGTTGAGGGATACATGCATTTACAACCATGTGTCACGGGCACCATTACGCCCACAGCGTCCCTTCCGTCCATCTCCTGCCCTTGGGGAGGTGGCCATTCACTTCACTACAGACCCCAGATCCAGGCAGGGAAGGGGTTTTTCTTCCCCGCATAAATACACACGCTAGGAAAAACAAGGCAAAGCCATCATGTTACTGGTTAGGACTAACTTTGGCTGCGTGTGCTAGGAACACTCCAAGTGCGTGCAGTGGGATGGCCGACCCACAGTTCTTGTCTCTTGGGGAAAGGCAGTGACCAGCCTACCCGCCCAGGATTCCTCGTCATCCTCCTTGTTGAAGATGGCTGCTAGGTACTGCCCATCCCGTCTGCATCCCAGGGAGCTGGGTGGAGGAAAGAATGAAGAAGAAAAGGGCCAGAGAGTGCCCTCCAGCCTGCTTGTAAATCTGCTCAGGGGCACTGCCCCCCCTCCATGCGGGGATTTTTGCTGAGTCATGCAGCCACGCGGGAGCTGCCTGGGGAGTTGGGAAATGCAGCCTGTATTTCTACAGCCAAGGTCTTAGCTAAGGTTAGGGGTTCTCACATGGGGGAAGACAGGACCGGAAGACCCCTGAAGGCAGAGCTGGAGAGAGGGAAGAGGAGAGACAGAGTGAGACCTTCCACTTGCTGGTTCACTCCCCTAATGACCGGTGACCAGGCCTGTGCCAGGCAGAAGCCAGGAGTCTGGAGTCTCTCCATTGCAGGTAACAGGGGCCCAAGGCCTCGGGCCATCCTCTTCTGCTTTCCCAGGAGCTGTATGGGAAGTATAGTAGCAGTCTGCACCCGATGCCCATACAGCACGCCAGCAGCTTTACGGCTTGTGCTACAGTGCCAGCCCCCGGACGTTTTCAGTCTGTGGTTGGGCCAGTGTTGTGATGCAGTGGGTTAAGAATCTCTGCCTCGGGCCCAGCACGATACTGTAGTGGTTAAAGTCTTCGCCTTGAACACGCCTGGATCCCGTATGGGCACTGATCTGTGTCCCAGCAACTCTACTTCCCATCCAGCTCCCTGCTTGTGGCCTGGGAAGGCAGTCGAGGATGGCCCAAAGCCTTGCGACCCTGCACTTACATGGGAGACTTAGAAGAAGCTCCTGGCTTCGGATTGGCTCTTCCGCTGTCTCTCCTCCTCTCTGTATATCCGCCTTTCCAATAAAAATAAATAAATCTTAAAAAAAAAAAAAAAGAATCTCTGCCTGTGTTCCTGGCACCTCGGAGCATCGGTTCAAGTCCTAGTCGCTCTGCTTCTGTCGCAGCTGCCCGCTACAATGCCTGGGGAGGCAGTGAAGACGGCCAGGAGGCAGAGGCCCCAACCTCTGGCTTCAGCCCGGCCCGGCCCTGCTGCTGCAGCCACTTGAGTGAACCAGCAGATTAAAGATCTGTTTCACTCACTCTGCCTTTCAAATAAATAGATATGTTTTTAGAAGCTCGTGGAAAATTGAACTAAAAGCAGCTTATTTTGATATAAAACTTGCTGAAACCTGTGCACCATTGTTGTATTTTTCCCCACAATGCACATTCTTGATGCTCAATGTGGAAAATTTTTTGGGTTCATGAATCCCACAGCTCCTGTGCATCGAAATAACCTTGTGGTTCCATCTCTCTCCTGGTAGAGGAGCTGCGCCGATCTGAACCTAGGAGCCCACAGCCTCACCCGGGTCTCCCACGCGGGTGCAGGGTCCCAAGGCTTTGGGCCGTCCTTGACTGCTTTCCCGGGCCACAGGCAGGGAGCTGGATGGGAAGCGGGGCCTCCAGGATTAGAACCAGTGCCCATATGAGATCCTGGTGCGTGCAAGGCAGAGACTTTAGCTGCTAGGCTACCATGCTGGGCCCTTTTTAATTTTTTTTTTTTTTTTTTTTTTTAGCAAATGAACCTGAGTTTAAAAAGTGTCTTGATCAAAAACACCAAAATCTAGACCAGTACAGCCAGTGACAACCTCCCTGGGCTGAGCAAGTACATGTGTTGCTTTTCGCCACTGCCTCCCAGCCAGCTGCCCCGGTCTGCAGGGCAGGGACCTCCCGGCCTCCTTGTGCTGCCCCTGTGTCTCGTCTTCATCTTGTCCTGAGCTTGGAGCATGAAAGTCAGGGTACTTGCAGGGTGCTGCCTGGGGTACCCCAAGCCCTCCCACTCTGGGGATTCTGAGCCGGGCCCGTGGGGGTGGGATGCTGGGCGGCAATTCCCTGCCTGCCTCTTTCCTTCTCTTTTTCTCTCTCTGTCAAATAATTTCTTTTAAAAGTTCATGGAAAAGGGAATTAAAAGCTGTTTAGTTAAAAAAAAAAAGTGAGATCCCTGCTAGTTTTTGCCATACTGTTCATTCTCTCAGTTTTAAAGTTCCCTCACACACAGATATTTACTTATTTATCTATGAAGGAAAGGCAGAGTTACGGAGAGGAGACAGAGGGAGGGATCTTCCATCAGCTGGTTCACTCCCCTCAATGGCTGCAGTGGCCAGAGCTGAGCTGAATCTAGCACCTTTTTCCGAGTCTCCCATATGAGCACAAGGTCCCAAGGCCTTGGGCTATCCTCTGCTGCTTTACCAGGTCATAAGCAGTGAGCTGGTTGGGAAGTGACGCAGCCAGGGCACGAAGCAGCACCCGTATGCGATCCCAGTGCGCACTACAGGAAGATGGCTGAGCCCATCCTGCATGGATTCATAAAGAACAAAAAAACCTACATCAGAATAATTTTTGCATTGCCACCTCCATGGGCTTTCTCAAGGCCCCTGGTACAAAATGACATCGGCGGCAGATCCCCAAGGTGCGAGGTGATCCCAAGCCAACAGAAGACCCACTGGGCAGCTGGGAGGGCCATTAACTCGAGGTCGCCAGGCCCCTTGCTTTGTTTCTAAAAGGGGCTTGACTTCGGGATCCAGAAATGCCAGTTTTTGCCTCCCAGTGCAACAAACGGGAAGGCCAAACTTGGCCTCGGCCTCCTGGTCACCACTTTCCACCCGCAGGGGGATCAGCCTCTGAGCACCAGTACCGTGGCCTGACCTCCCCCCCCAGGAGAGCAGATCGCAGACCTGCCTGTGCTCAGCATGGCGAGGCGCCTGGCACGAATGGGCCGCAGGAGGCAGGGGGAGGGAACAGATGCACGCAGGAGACAAGAGGGGAAGGAGACCTGTGTGCGCGTGTGCGCCCGCGCAGGCACTGAGGTTCAGCTAGAACAGTGCACGGGGCTTGTCGTGGAAGAAGGGGAAGCAGATTCCACCCAGGGCGGAGGTGGAGGGCACTGGCCAGGATGCTGGTGTGGTTTCCATGGAGACACGGACGCTCCGGGCACGAGCGGAAATCACTGCAGAGCAGGTGTCCTTGTGATGGCTGACAGGGTGTGAGGGCCGCCAAGGGTCTGTCCTTGCCCCAATCGCCGCGTGCCTCCCTAACCTCCCCCTCCCAGTATCCCTTAGGGTCTGGCTAAAGAGAAGGGGGTAGCCACTCCTCCTGGCTCTGGGTCTCGGGCCTGTGGTCCCTCTGCTTACAGAGCAGGAACACCCCTACCCCCCACCCCACGGACACAAACTGAACCCCCCTCCCACTGCCCAGGCTCCCAGCTCGGCTCCTTTAGCTGCGTCCCACTGGGCAGGCCCTCCCATCCCCGGGGCCTGGTGTGTGGGCAGTGGTCAGAACAGACCTCACGGCGGCCGCTGGGACGTGGCATCCTCCAAGACTCACGTATGGCTCCCCATGTGTTCAGGAACCGGGTCAGGGCTGCTCTGCTCTCTGCCAGGCCCCGAGGCTCCGATTGGTCCGCCATACCGCGGGTGCCATTTTCCGAGCCAATTACCTGCTGCCCAAGACTGCGCAGGGCTGAGTGGCCCAGAGCTGGAAGGTTGGGAGCCAGGGCCTCGCCGGCAAGGGTGTCCGTACTGGGGTTGGCCTAGCACCCTAGGGGAACACTCTTGGCCCCGCTTCTCCTTCTGCCTCTCCTCCACTGAAAGCTGCTCCCCCAGGATTTCCTGTGACCCTGTGACCTGCACTGTTGTCACTGGTTTGACGGTAACAGCTCATCCAGGACTTAGCAGCTGCTTCCTGCAGTTGTCATGCCCTTCTCCCCATCTTACAGACTTGCAAATTGAGGCTCAACAGTGCACATTGCCATGCCGTGGGGCCTCCGCAGTCCATACCAGAGGGCCTGGCTTCCCCCGACTCCTCCAGTTTCCTGTGAGGCAGCAGATGACAGCTCACGGGTCTGGATCCTGTGCCTGGGGCACACACGCACACTCACACACGCACACAAGCGCATGGGACGCCTCTGCTGATTTCCCAGCTCCCACCTTCATTGGCCCAGCCTTGGCTGCTAGGGGCATTTAGGAAGCAAGCCGGCAAATGGAAGACTTTTGTCTGTCTTTCAAGTAAAAATAAGAAGCAAAAGCAGCTGACCCAGAGTTTGAGCCTGAAGCCACGGCCAGCTCCCACTCCCAGCTGGGTCCCACACCTGGCCCTTAAGCACCACCTGAATGTGGGCCTGGCTTGTGAGCAGCCCTATCTCAGAGGACACGTGGGGAGCCCGTGGAGTCAGCCATGCCTCGGGGGCAAGGTGATAGGGTGAAGCTGAGAGCTCTGAAGAGCATGGCTGTACCCCTGGAGCCCACCCCCATCCCAGTCTGTTCTTCTAGCCCAGTGCCCAGGACGGATCTGCACCAATACTTATTTACTGAATGAATTGCCAACATAGACAGACAGACATACATAAAAAGATGAGATGGGAGGGGCGGCCTGCGTGAGAAGCTTGAAGGAGCTGAGTGGGGTGGGTGGTGGTGATGGTGTGTGTGTGCACGCGCGCGCGGCTTGTTCTTGGTCCACCCTAGCCCCCGATGGCTTGCTCGGGGAGGAGTGGGTTTGAGGGGCTGTGGGGGTCCTCACAGGCAGCGGGGCTGCCGTGCAGTCTCCTCCCCACCCTGGGAGTAATACCCTCCTCTCTCCCCTCTGAACCGTGCCGGCGGCGGCGGCTGCAGCTCTGTGCCTCGTCCTCGGCTGCATGATCTTCCCCGACGGTTGGGATGCCGAGACCATCCGGGACATGTGCGGGGCCAAGACGGGGAAGTACTCACTCGGGGACTGTTCGGTGCGCTGGGCCTACATCCTGGCCATCATCGGCATCCTCAACGCGCTCATCCTCTCCTTCCTCGCCTTCGTGCTGGGCAACCGGCAGACCGACCTGCCGCCGGAGGAGCTCAAGCAGGAGAACAAAGGTAAGTGCGCAGGCGCAGGCAGCGGGGCGTGGCAGGTGAAGGCTGTGGCGCGAGGCCAAGTCGGAAGTCATTCTTTTTCTCACCTGATGTCCTGATCCAGGCCCGCAGACCCACCATAGGGCCGGGAGAAATGCCGGGGTGCTGGGTGGCGGAGACAGTGTTTGGGAGGGTTGCCAGCCACCTGGCAGGTGGTTCTGGCTGTGGGACGGAGTGCTTGGTTGTGTCACAGGGTGGGTGCGTCCTGGGTCTGTCACACACCCAGGGAGGGATGATAGTAAGACCCTGGCAGAGGGACTGACTGCTGCTGATCCAACCTAAGGTAGCTCTGTCGGTGATACACCTCAGACACAGGATTGGGATTGCCTGTGATCAGGGGAAGTCGGAGCACGTGGGTCTTTCACACACTGAGGGTTTGGTGCTTGCATGGTGAGTGCACGTGTATCCAGCATGCTTTGTGACTGCCCATGGCATGTCAACTTCGCCTCAACATGAACCTTCACCAGAGAACACACTGACCCACGAGGCCAGAGCTCTGCCCGCTCCCCACACACCCTGATCCCTGCCCACTCCCCACACCCCCTGAGCGCTGCCCACTCCCCAAACACCCTGAGCCCTGCCCGCTCCCCACACCCCCAGCCCTGCCCGCTCCCCACACCCCCTGAGCCCTGCTGCTCCCCACACCCCCTGAGCCCCTGCTGCTCCACAGCTTTTTCTGTGCATTTTAAGGAAGGGTCAAAGAGCACAGCCTGTTTACCTGGGCAGAACGGGGTCCTGATTTTCACTGTGGCTCTGTGCAAAGGTGAGCGTGAGGTGTGACTCACACACATGCTCAGTCGACACACACAGGCCCAACATCTCCCACTGAGTCTTGGTCCGTGTCCTGAAGTAGCCATGTTGGAGCCAGCATGTCTGTGGGCCATGGCAGTGAGCGTGCACTCAGGCGTGGGCCGCAAAGGGGACTTTAGGTAAGCTGTGTGGTGGTGGAGGGGCCGTGGGCTTCTCCCTGGCTGCAGCCTCAGCGGTGGGCAGCATGCGGCCTGGGCCGAGGAGACTGCAGTGAGTCCCTGGGAAGGAGGGACTTTCCAGGACTAGGTGGGCAGTGCTGCCCAGATGGCTGGAACAATGCAGACCCCACCTGCACATGGCCCAGGTGCAGCTAGCCGGGTGAGGTGACTAGCCCTGCCCCGCACCATTTCAGCGGGGGTCCTTGTGCACTCAGCAGGTGTACCAGGAGTGTGTGTATACCTTCCCAGGGCCCACGAGCACATATGCAAGGGTGCACACTTTGAACTGCGCTTGGTACAAGTGAGCGCTCCAGGCATGGTGCCCAGCATTTGCCTCCTGCCCTTGGAGCTGGGAGACACTGCTGCCAGTCCGATGACCCGTGTCTGTCTGAGTGTGCCCTCCCGGCAGGGACAGTCAGTTGCAGCCTTTGGGTGGTGGGCCTGAGCTAAGCAGGACCCTGTAGCCGCCGTGTTCTCACAAGGGGGTACGAGGTGGAGCTGCAGGACGGTGAAGGCAGGTGGTCTGCCCTGGGATGGGTTGACCTTGGAAATGACTTGACTTTGAGCCCCAGGCTCTGCCCTTCATGGAGAGAGGGCCCGGAGCACAGCATCATCTGTCAGGGCTGTGGGCAAGGAAGGCAGGGGGCTCTGCCTGAGGCATGCAGTGGTACCATCCTCCTAGAAGGCCTTGCAAGAAAGAGGACACACATATTTTTAGAGCCAGGGTCACCTTAGTGATGAACTCCGCAGAAGAGTCCACCACCCAAGCTCTGTCACTGGGGATGGCTCCCCTGCTGCTCTGATGGCACAGGTGCTGCTGCGGCCTCGGTGGGAGGCAGGGCCTGCCCTCTGGTGGCAGCTTTCAGAAGTGCAGGGCTGGGCTCCAATGCACCGCTTCACTGTGGAAGCAGGCTGGACCCCGGGATCCCTCTCCTTGCCTTCCTAAACAACCCAGGGTTAAAGGGAAGCTAAAGGAGCCCACTTGACCCTCCTTCGCCGGCTGGGATCTTCCTTCCTCTCTGGAAGTTCGAGAGGAATTGTGAGTTGGAGACGCTGAGTAGGTGTGAGGTGGGGACATGGACCCGCAGCCAAGTGCTGTCTGCAGCCGACTCTACACTGGGGCCTGGGCTGGACCCCTCAGGCTGAGCTGTGAAGCCGACTCATCTCTGCAGGGTGATGGGGACTTCCAGGCTGTGCAGCCCACACCCCGCTCCGTGGAGGGGACCACCGCTGACCTCTCCCCTTCTCTCTCTCTCTCTCAGATTTTGTGGGCTCCACAGTCAGCTCTGTGCTGCGGCCAGGCGGTGACGTCTCGGGCTGGGGAGTGCTTCCCTGTCCAGTGGCCCACTCACAGGGACCCTGAAGGCCAGGCTCACAGCCCAGGAGTTGACCTGCCCTCGGCTTGTCCCGTATCCGGTCCTCTCCTCCACCCCTCCACGCTCCCAGGGAAGACCGTCATCTCAGACTGACTACTCACCCACCACAGCTTCCGGTTTGAAGAGAGACCGGGGCCGGGGTGTGGCCTGAGCCATGGCAGAAGCCCCAGAGAACCTTGGCAGGCCTGATGCTGGCTCCTGCCTCAGTGGGACCTAGGGGAGCCCAGTGGCCCCCCCAGCCCCTGCTCTGGGGTCAGGCCCCGAGGCTGCTGTAGGCCTCCAGAGAGAGGGGCCCTGTGGCAGAAATGGATTCCTCACACTGCCCACATGGGCTGGACTCTTTGCTAGTTGTTTCCCCCCCTCTGCCGACCTTGGTTCCACAGCATCTGTCACAGAGGTCTCGGTGTCGGCAGCCTTCCTTGGGGGACCCTCCCGGCCTGCTCCCTGCTCGCCCGGACACACCCGCGCTACACCCTGGGAGCACACAGGGCCGTTCTCTGTGCACCGCAGCCAGGGCGCCGGCCGGACAACAGTCCAGCTGGGCTTCAGAGCAGCGGGGAAGGCCTGGGGCCCTGCTCACTGGAGCCTTGGACACTGCCCCGCCCGGGGCCGGGGTGAATGACCGGGGACTGGCTGCTACCGTACAGCACAGATACGGCCTCACTGTCAGGGTGGGTGGAGTTCCAGAGGGGGGCCGGCCGTGGGGAGTCAGGACCATGTCACCCGTCCGCCCCTGCTCTTGTCCCGACCCCTGGTCATCTGCCAAGGGCAGACACTCTCTTGCCTCTTTAATACTTTTCTGCATAACTTGAACTTGCAGGTCACCTCTGAACAGGGTATCCCCTGTCCCCACCCCAGACCTTGTGCTCCTGTCCCCGCCTCTCCCTCCTCCTCGCCCACCTCTCGCCTTGTGCCATGCCCAGGGTCTGATGGGCAGTGCTTGGAGCTGAGGCCTGAGTGCGAGTGTGCCCGTGTGTGCGTGTCTGTGTGTGCATGTGGAAGTATGTGTGTGGGAGTGCGCGTGTGTGTGCCTGAGTATGTGTCAGGGACAGATGAACCGTCATCCTGTCCCTCTCCTCCCCTGGTGGGAGCGACTGAGGTGAGGGAACGCCAGTGTTTCCACAACACCCCACGTTACCTTGTGGCGCCCCCTGCAGGCTGCACAGGGAGGCTGTTGTTGCCCGTTGACCTTGGCCTCCGCCACAGGCAGGACAGGACACGAGCTTGAGGGCCATGCATTTGCTACCCTTGTTCTCATTTCCATAGGACTTAGACCTGATGGTTAGGATTCCCTCTCTCTGCCCACCTGTCCCACAGGGACCCTAACTGGAATCAGACAATGGGTCCCAGTGGGGTTGCCCATCTCCGGGATCCACGTCTGCCCAGCGTGCTGGCCCCACTGCACTGTGCTGGTTCGTTCCTGCCAAGTCCCTGCCTGCAGCCATGCAGCTGGTACCTTCCCCAGCAGGTGGCAAGTCAAACCAAAGGCTGGGTTGGAGGGGATCTGTAGAGGTGGCAGTGGAGGGTGGGGAGGGCTGGAGCCAAGGCTTAGGAATAGGGAGGGACAGGTGGAAAGGTGGGGAGGGCAGTCAGACATGGGAGGAGAGAGAGGTGTGGAGGAGGGGGAATACAGAAGGGAGGGGTCAAGACATGAGGGCTGCATGCCAGGGAGCAGGGTTGTGGTGGGCAGTGAGGAGGGCACCTGGTGAACACCCCCCGGGGACATCTCCTGCCCGAGGGGAAACCCTGTGTTCTTCAGGGGTTGGTCAGAAATGACCCCTTCCTGGGACCAGAGGCTTAGAGCCCCGTGGCCGAGGCCTTGTTCCTTGGTGCAGGGGCCACATCAGAGGGGACCTATGTACAGGTGACAGGACTGGTTAGCGCCAGACACTTAGGAGGAGACTGACCACGCTTCTGGGTCCTGGTAGTAATGGCAACTGGGGACCTATGGGGCAAAGGGGGTGCAGTGAGCCGCAGCTTGCAGGGACTGCAGGACAATGTCGCAGTGGCACTAAGGGCTACACGGAGGTGAGCGTGGAGCAGGTGACCAAGCTGCAGCCCTGGCCCCCATGGCCCTGATGGCTCCCCAGAAAGAGGGACATAGGGCGAGCCCTGACCCAAGGTGGGGAGAATGGCTGATGCCTCTGGGAGGGCGGGGGTTGGCCCCGGGAGCCTACCTGGGAGGTGACTGGTGTGGGGTGCATGGCACTGCCTACTTTCTCTCATCCAGCCTGGGGCCCCTGTGACAAGAGGCCCTGGTTGTAGACGGGTGGCTGGCCCACAGCAGCGACCCAGTCCTCCTGGGGATGTGAAGATGCTCCTTTTGGGGACCAGCACTGTGGAAAGGGAAGCCTGGCCCGAAGGCCCTGGCAAAGCCCCTGGCCTGAGGGGGCTCGGCCTTCTCTGGCTTCTGGTGTGGACCGGCAGGAAACCCCCTCTTCAGAGGAGCTGGGAGTTCTCCAGTGCAAGAAGCCCGCAGGCTGAGGGTAAGCCTTTGGGCGAGTCTGTCTGGGGTCCCCCTGCACCCACCATGGGCCCGCTGTCGTTAGGATAGCTCGGTGTTGTCTAGCCTGTTAGTAGGTTCTGTGCGAATGTGTCCTCGCTGTTCCTCGTCCAGTTCAATGTTACGTTGACTTTGGTCCTGACCCCTTCTGCTGCTGCTGGATTTGAGCTTCAGTGCAGGTGGAATGAGGTTCAAATAAAGACACACTTTATATCACCCATGTTGGCTGCAGTGTTCCTGAGTGCAGGGTCCGGAGGGGGGCAGGTGGGGCAGTGTCGGGGAGAGGCAGCCTGACCCCTTGGGAACCTACAGTACACTGCTGCAGTGGGTTAGCAAGCGTGCATATTTCTTCTTATTAAGAATTTTGTGGTTACCACACATAACATACAAAACTATATTTGAACTTATCCCACATTTGATGTTTCTGCTATCACAACTGAATGTTTTACATGCATCTATTTTTAAAAATATCATTTACATACAGGAGATAGATCTTCCACTGCTGGTTCACTCTCCAGTGCCTGGACCAATCCAAAACCAAGTTTCGTCTGGGGCTGCTACATAGTACAGGGGCCCAAGCACTTGGGGCACAGGAACGTGGGGGCTGGATTGGAAGCGGAGCAGTCAGGACCGTCACATGGGATGCTGCAGCCCAGGCAGCAGCTAAATTCCGTGAGCCAGTGCTGGCCCCACAGTGCTTGCTTTGGCTACTCTAACAGACGTACAATGGAACCTCAGTGCGTCATTTTCTATTTTTTTATTGTTATTTGTATTTTATTTTCTACTTCTGTCACTGGATGTCATGCTTCCAACAGGCTTGCCATGCACGTAGCAGCTGTCTGTTCATATCTTCTGCTCTTCTGATTACTACGGGTCCCAAGGTTTAGGTAAGTAAGTTCTTTATCAGGTGTTTCTTCTCTAAATATATTCTTCGGTCTGTGGCTTCTCATCTCATTTTTTTGTCCCTTCAAAGTATTCACTTTAATTTGAATAAAGCCCGGCTTATCAATCCCTTCTTTCCAAGGATTTACTTGAAAGGCACAGTGACAGAAGGGACAAACATTTCCCACTGCTGGTCCTCTCTCCAAATGGCTGCAAAGAGGCCACAGGGTCAGGCGCTCCAGCTGGGTCTGCCGTGTAGCTGGCAGGGGCCCAGCCACTTAGACCTGTCCTGCTCCAGGACACAGCACATCACAGGGAGCTGGACCAAATGCCTGCCTGCGTGGGAGCCCAAGCAGTGGCTTTACCTACTGTGCCACAGGCTCATCCTTGGTCTCTCACGGATCAGGCATGTCATTGTCACAGCCATCTTCTCAACAGACTATCTAGATTTTCCAGGTTATCTTCCAGTTCTGCTGAATTCAGGTCTGGTTCATTCTGAGTTTCTCTGGTTGTGGTTGAATGATGTCCAGAAGTTCCACAGTGTCAGTGCAGACTCTTGCCCTCTCTTCTGCTTGTGCCCCACCAAGGTTGTGTGTCTGTGTGTATATATACACACACATATATAAATGCACGCATGTGTATATATATATTTTTTAAAAGCAAGACTTATTTTCCATTTGTAAAGCAGAGTTAGAGAGGAGAGACAGATTCTCCATCTGCTGGTTCACTCCCCAAATGGCCACAATGCCCAGACCTGGGAATGTCTGAAACCAGGAACTTCAGCAGGGAGTTGGATGGGAAATGGATGCCTGCATAGGATGTTGATGTGCCAGGCAGAGGCTTAACACACTATGCTGCAACACTGACACTCAGCTGCCTGAATGTATGTGGGGTTGACTCTGGCCTATCTCGTTCCAGTGATCTATCTGTGACCAACAGCACCCTGTCTAGTCTACTGTAGGTTGCAGCAAATGCCGAGGCCAGGGAGTATGAGAATTGGCCTATAATTACATTGTCTGCTTGCCCGTTTTATTTTTATGTCAGGGTTGCAATTCATACTTTTTATGGGAGAAATAAAACTGATTTCAGAATCCCTGCCAGGTACCCCCCAGCAGTGCATCATGTCTGAAGTGTCCCCTTCAGCCTAAGAAGCCGTAGCAGGCAGGGATGGTGCAAGTGTTTTGCCCTCTGCTTCCATGAGGGAGGCCTGAAAGAAGTTCCTGGCTCTGGTCTGGCTGTTTTGTGGCCATTTGGCCATTTTAGTAGATCAAAGATCTTTCCAACTCTGGCTTTCAAATAAACAAAATTCTCACAGGTTGCTTAGTCATCAGGGGCTGGGGTTGTGGTGTAGCAACTGAAGACGTTGGCACTGACTGCATGTGGCTGCTGGCTGGGGTGTCTGATGCTCCATTCTGCTGCAGCCTCCACCCCCCCATAACCTGGAGAAGCAGTGGAAGGCGGCCTAAGTGCCTGGGGCCCTTGTCACCCATGTGAAAGACCCGAATGGGGTCATGGGGTTCCTGGCTACAGTCTGGCTTGCATCTAGGCAGTCACCCTTTTGTTCAAGGTGATCACTATTTGAGAGGACAAAGCACCACCCAACTGATGGCTGGGGCAAAGGGCCAGGCTGCTGCTTTGGGGCGGGATATGGTAGGACTTAGTCTTTTAAGTGATTTCCAAGAAGAATTTTGTTATTACAATTTATACTCATTTCCTAGTTACACTGCAAAATTTCTCAAGACACAGATTTTTCAGTTGTTAACCCCTTAGCAGCCCAGCAGGGAATAATTCGAAGTCTAGCAGCTGTCTTACCTGGATGCTCCCGGCACTACACACAGTCCAGGTGCCTAGCAAGTTACAAAATGTGCACTTAGAGACACATCCAGCTAGGAACTGCAATAGAGGAAGAAGTAATTCCCACGTGCCCCCCGCGGGCCAGGGCTGGATCAAGCTGAGCAGGGGAGTTGTGGTCTCAACCCAGGTACTCCTCCACGCAGGAAGCAGGAGGCTGGATTCAAGTCCACTCTGAGGTAGGATGTGGCAACTGCACTGCTCAATTCCCTGATTCTTTGAAGAGGATGGCCCTCAACCTCCAATCTAGTTCCAGCTGCAGCAGCTGTGGTTAGTCCTAGGCATTCTGGAGGGGATCTTTCAAACCTATGCAAGTATTGTGGTTGTGCACTCAACTGGCTATTGTCCAAGCTTCTTACAGAATTATCTTTCTCAACTCTCACAAGGTGGTTTATCACAGGTTAAGTAGTAAATATTTGTCAGTACACAGTAAAAGCAGAGCTCTGCCAATGCAGTCCATCAGCACAACACAGCCCGATTCCACCTACTCCTTATCTGTCCTGGACACCTGGGAGTTCCCTTCCAAACTGGGTTCCCAGCTGTCTACTCATCTCTAACAGGACTCAAACAATCTGTAAGAACCAAGCCCCTACTGGACAAAATTGGAGCACTTATTCATTTGCATGATTCCTTCGTTGTACTTAACTGTTGGGTACAGGGAGCAGCAAACTGTAGCCTTTGGGCCAAACCTTCCCTGTCCGGTACCAGGAAATAAAGATCGATGGGAACCCAGCAACATGCTCTATGGCTGTTCCAGTTACGTAGTGTTAAGTGCTGACAGCCTAGAAACACATGGCCTGCTGGGACTGACCACGCGTAAATCAGAACCTACTGATACCCCTTCCAAACACCTTCAAACTCTTCCCCCCATGGCCTCACTGCCCCGCTGTGGCCTCAGCTGACACATCTATTCCTCCTCCTTCAAGCTCTCCAGTCACATGCAGTTAGTCCCCTCCCACACTAGACTATTAAGGCCACTTTAACCAGTACAAGTCCAGAGTCAGTCCAGCATGGCTTTTAGATGAACAGCAGCTCTGTCATGAGGAAGCCTCACCAGTATTCCTGGCCCCCAGAGGGGAAGACAGGTCCCCCAAGAACAAACACTGTTGAATGAATGTTATCTTCAAGCAAGGAGGCCATGAGGCAACCACACACACAGAACAAACAAGTTCTCAACTCTGTTATGGTTAAGAATTTTATTATCAAAATTATTACATCTCTTGTGAAAGTTCAAATGTTACAGCAAGGTGTAAACACTCCACTTGAGAAAGAAGCGATACTTCTTCCCTTCCAAGAGTCCCCCACCCCCCTCCCCCAACCCCCCCAGAGGTCTGGTCTTGACAGCACCCTGCCCACACAGAGTGGCTGGGGTCTCTGCACGTGCCAGGCAGGGTGAGGGCTGCCTGCCCGCTGGCCTCTCCCTCAGGTGCAGCCGAGAGGAGAACGCAACCCCAGCGCAGGTGGAGAGACGTTTACACGTGGTTTCTATCATACACGAAGGAGCCAGCATCCCAGGCTGGAGGAACCCACTCCCAGTGCTCTCCCAGACGGACGGGCTTGTGGGGGGAAACGACAAGTACTCTGCTGAGGTCTCCCCTCATTGGAGCAAACACCTGATTTCCATTTTGAAAAGTGAAATTTTGTAACAGTCACACACAAAGAGAGAAGACTGTGCATATGATAGCTGTAGGACAGGGCAGAAAAGAAGGGGATGCAGGAGGTGGGGGGGGGGGGGGGGAGAGAACAAATTGGGGGAAGGTAAGAGGGAGACTCACAGTATCATCTTGTCTAAAGAAAAGAAGTCCGGTCCACTGCAGCACCAGGGATCACACCTGCCGTACAGTCACTACCCCTACCATGGTTATAACTGAATACAAAATTAGATAAATAAAAACACGCCGGATAGTACAGTAAACAAGTGAAAGAAATAAGCTGGCAACCGTATGGAATTTAAAAAGATTGTGTACCCCGCCTGGGCCGGCTCTGGGCTCCTCCAGGGGTGTACAACAGGCACAATGCACTGACGGGGAGAAGCCAGGCTGCTCGCATCTCTCATCCGCAACAGTGTCAGGGCTGTGGGGGCTTGGGAACTCGCCAGGCCTACCCTCACGCAAGCAGCCCCCAAGGGAACGTGGGGGGGCCCGCAGTCAGTCCTGTCGGTGCCACTCCACAAGCCCACCTTCCCACTCTTACCCTGCAGTCACGCGTGCAAGCTCCCTAGTCACAGAGGTGGTCCTGCTCAGGGAGTGGTCAACTCCTGATTAACTGGGAGTAGAGAAAACAACATTCAAAGAATGTCCCAAACCACCTGGGATCCTTCCTAACGAAGCTGCTGCCTAGAACTCAAAGTGGTCACGCCACAGGGCTACCTCACCTCTCAGCCCTCTTGTACCGGCCCCATGGTCACTGAGCTGTGAGATGTTGTGAAAGGGAAATGACAAATGCCCCCGGTATCTCCTCCCAGAAGAGCTGGGCTCTCGGCCCAGAGCCTACCTCTTGGTGATTTTAAGACAAAGGTAAAGGCAGGACTCTAGGGGCACACACCTTAGCCAGGCCGCTGCTTTTCTGTTTTGGAATGGTTGTCATCGGGTGGACACTTCCACACCTACCTCTTTTCTTAAGTGCATAAAAACCCTAACACTACTCAGATGGCTTGGGGCTATGAGATCGGCTCCTTTCACTTTTTTTTCTTTTGAAAAGAAAAATGTTTTTCTCTTTTATTTAAAAAGATGTCCTCACTGCACAGGTGACTACAGGCTACAGGCAAGGATGGGAGACAGAGGCTCCAACACAACTCATTGCACTTAGAACCGTTACTGAGACCATTTGCTTGTCAACAATGTACCCTCGACCGCAGGGGGGAACTTCTTTGTAGTCTCTGCTTCAGACAAGATTTCCATCTTTCTCCAAGGCCAGAGGCCAGTCGCAACCACAAGTCTTGTTTCTTGTCGACCAGACCCAATCCTCTGACACTGTGTACCCCCTTCCCCAGCAATCTGCTCGGCCTGGGTTCCAGAGGCAGCTGGAAGGAAGCAGCTATGGGCTTGTTCAGTTCTATTTGCCCAAATCCAGAAGCCCTAGGAAAGTCCTGTCTGAGTCTTGACCCCTGACCCTTGCAGTGGCTGGAGTCGGTACTGATGCACAGTCCCACTCCCTCGGGGTGGGTAGTGCTGTGAATTGGAAACCGCAGATACCCTGGAGGCCTGGGAGGCAGCTGACTGCCCGGCACTGGGCACACTTATCGTCCGTAAGTCCGACGGCAATGACGCCCTAGAGTTCTGAGGAAAGGAGGTGGAACTCAGAGTTCCTGTGCTGGACTGAGAAACTGAGTCTGAGGTCGGCGAGTCGGAGGGACCCTGCAGGGTTGGGCTGGCGGCACTGGAGGAGCAGCCCCTCCTCGGCACACTGCCGCCACTGCTGCTTGCAGAATGCTGCTGGCTGCTGTAATACCCTGGAGTCCCTGGGAAGGGGGCCATCGAGTCTGTGGATACGGGGTGGGCGGGGCTGGAATAGGACGCAGAAGAGAGGGAGGACTCGGAGGAGCTCTGCGAGGTGGCGTTTGCAGGCCTCAGGGCAGAAGTTCGGTAACTGTACCCTGGAGACTGGGTGGGATGCCCTCTGAAGGGGGATGAGCTCTGCTGCAGGAGGCTTTGTGATTCTGTGCGGGGACTGTCGCACTGCAGGAGCTGGAACGAGACAGCAGGAAGGCTCTGAGCAGGGAGGCAAACCCCTTGTAGTTCATGCACATTTACTGTATTTTAACTCAAAGTAAGAGTAAGTGTGTGTGGATCTTGTATCTGCTGATTTACTTTCCTAAATGGCCACAGTGGCTAGAGCTAGGCTGGTTTGAAGCCAGGCACCAGGAGCTCCTGTGTCTCCCAAGTAGGGGTAGGGGCCCAAGGCCCTGCTTGGCTGCTTTCCAGGCCACCAGCTGTGAGCTAGCCTGAAAGTGTAACAGCTGGGACTTGAACTGACACTCAAACGGGATATCGGCACCACAGGCAGAAGGTTTAATGTGCTACACCACCATGCTAGCACCTTCCCTTCCATTTTTAAAAAAATTATTTTATGACACAGTTCTATGGTTCTGGAATTTTCTCTCCCTCCTCAAATTCCCTTCATTTTTGTAACAATCTGTAAATTGACTGTGGCCATCTTTTTTTCCGGCATGAGTTACTGCCTGAGAGCGGGCAGATGATTTCCTTCTAAGGTTCTGAAAGCATATGCAAAGCCAGCACCCTGAGACTTCAAAACACGACAAGGACCACAAAACCCTGACGCCCTGGCACCCAGGCCCCCAGCACCTGGTAGCTGTATCTGGAAGGGCTGTAAACGGCTGCTCCTTTGGAGAGTGCTGAGCTCAAGGTCTCCGGGCCTTCTCCGTCGGCAGGGTCTGGAAGATCAAAAACAAATCCATATGGCTTCTGACAGCAAGTGAGGGGAAGTCCCTACTGCCATCAACAACCCATGCTGTTCTCTGCTAAGCAGAGTGAAGGCAGCAAGCCAAAAGCCAAAGAGGACTGGCTAAGCATGGGCAGTGTTTTAAATGACTGAACTGACTCCTGGCTCCTTCTTTTCCTCTTCATCTAGGTGCACTTTCAGGACTCTGCAGAGGCTGAGCAGACACAGCAAGCAGTATCAGAGCTCAAGGAGCGTGAGGCAGGCCAGCTGCGCCAGGAATGGACGCCCTGCTGCCTTGTGCTGCCTGGGAACGAGGCCGGCGGCAGTAGGACAAGGCTCACCTGTGTCCTTCTCGGGGATGCTGCTCTCCCACGTGGGAGAGGGCTCTCCCTTTTGGGCCACCCTCACACTGCTTCGGAGGACCTTGGGGATGCTGCCTCCTTCTCGGAGTCGTTCTACTGAGGTGGGAACCATCCTGCAGAGGAAAGGGGGTACATGACTGAAACAAAGGATTCATGTCTGAAATCAAAAAACCAAGACAAAGATCACACCCTTGCACCCACACAGTCTCTGAAAACATCCTCTTCAACACGGTTTACTTCAGGAGCTCTGTAGAACAAGGTTATTTCCTCTACCTCAAAATGTCAGAAACTCAAGAAAAAAATTAATGGGGAGGGGAATCAAGAAAATGGACCAAAGATGTCAACTTTTCTTAAACCCCATTTAGAAATTGCTAAATTTTCTTTTCTGTGAAATTATGTGCCTGGCACAGCAGATAGAAGGAATGAAGGTTGCAGACTAGCAATACAACCACACGCCTCCCACTGCATATTCCCGAGCACCTTGCTTCGCTAGCGGCCATGAGCAGTCCTGTTTCCCCGAGTCCTGTCAGAATGCCCGAGTACTCTGCATATGCTGGCTGTAAAAGCATCTGTTGCTCATTCAAATGGAACTGGCTAAACTCCCAACTTACCTTTCATGTGGAGCAAGACCACAGAAGTGTTAGTGCCCACCAAATCAAACAGAGCCACAGCAAGGTGGCTTCTTTCTTCTCCAAGGTGGAGGGCCGTGGCTGGCAGGACTCCATCAGCCAGAGTGCACTACCGACTGGTCTCTCAGTCCTCCCATACATTTTAGGTAAAACTGGGAATGATAGTGGCACACACCCCTCTGAGCTGGATCAGAAAACCTTACATACAAACTTACCATCTACTGCTGATACTTTCTTGAGGTCTGCAGTGAGATGATGAAGTGCCCCTGGAATCGGACGGGCTTACCGCCTCCAAATGGGACATAGAGGAATGAGATGGGGAGAACTTTCTGTGAGGGGAAGAAGGGGTTCGGGCTGAGGATCCCTGCACACCATGGGCACCCGGGTCAGAAGTAGAGCTGCTGCCTCCTGGCCCGGCTCCTGCTGACTTGCTTTTGCTCTGGGCAGAGTCACCTCCGCTGCCAGAGTTCTCCTTGGCTTCTTGTTTCCGTTTACGGTACTCCAGCAATGACACCTAGCCAGAGGGAGAGAGAGAGAGAGAGAGAGAGAGAGAGAGACTGTCACTCCAACTGAGCTGTGTGTTGTGCAACCACTGGCAACGGGGACAGGGAAGATGCCATGTTGGTAACCATCAGCTGGGGCCAGTGTGGTGGTGGTGGTGGGTTAAGCTTTGGCCGAATGAGGACAGAAGTTTTTTCCTCTGTTATTCCTATCCCCACTGTCTCTATAATGAAGCCATTCAAATAAACAAAGCAACCACAAATCCACAGAATAGAATAAAAAGTGAGCCAAACCAAGGAGCCCAAGCAGGCACCAGCTCTGGCAGCTTTTCGTAGGTGTGAGAGACCACAGCAAAGCCGCATGCTATCAGAGCATCAATCAGGAGGGTGCACATCTGGCACATCTGCCTACCCATCAGTGGGCAGTGGTTTGGGGTCTGGCTCTGCTTCTGAGCCCAGTGTCATACGGGTACCCACGCACCCTGGTGGCAGTGCCTGCAGTTCCTGGCTTTGGCCTGGCCAAACTACAGCATTTATGGAGTGAACGAGCAGATGAAGATCTCTCTCTGCCTTAAAAAACACAACAAAATTCAGCAAACAGGGGCTGGTAGAGTAGGTAAAGCCACTGCTTGGGATGCCAGCATCTCAAACAGGTGCCAGTTTGCAAGGCCCAACTCCTTGGGCTCTTGAACCCATGTAGGAGACATGGAAGAAGCTCCTTGTTTCAGCCTGGAACAGGGTGAAAAAATAAACTTTTATCTATGCCCTTAAAAGAGACCACACCACAAAGGACCCTCAGTATTTCTGGCCCTGCCTAGTAAATGTTAAGTCACTGTAGCTCAATGTCCCTTGTGGACAATCACTCATTTTATTTTAAAAATTTATTTATTTTTATTACAAATTCAGATATATACAGAGAGGAAGAGAGAGAGAAAGATCCTTCATCTCATGAGTTACCCCCCAAGTGACTGCAATGGCTGGAGCTGCCCGATCCAAAGTCAGGAGCCTGCAACCTCCCCCAGGTCTCCTGTGTGGGTCTAGGGTTCCAATGCCCTGGGCCGTCCTCAACTGCCTTTCCCAGGCCACAAGCAGGAAGCTGGATTGGAAGTGGGGCTGCCGGGATTAGAACCAGTACTCACTGAGATCCCAGTGCATGCAGATGAGGACCTCAAATGCTAGACCACAGCACCGGGCTCAATCACTAATTTTTTTAAAAAAGATTTATTTTATTTTCATTACAAAGTCAGATATACAGAGAGGAAGATCTTCCGTCTGATGACTCACTCCCCAAGTGACCATAATGGCTGGTGCTGTGCCAATCTGAAGTCAGGAGCCAGGAACTTCCTCCGGGTCTCCCACACAGGTGCAGGATCCCAAGGCTTTGGGCCGTCCTCGACTACTTTCCCAGGCCACAAGCAGGGAGCTGGATGGGAAGTGCAGCTGCTGAGATTACAACTGGTGCCCATATGGGATCCTGGCACATTCAAGGCAAGGTCTTTAGCCACTGGGCTACCATGCCGGGCCCTCAATCACTAATTTTGAAAGCACTTCTTGAGCTTTACAGTCCCAGCCCGACAACAAGTTCCCTAGGGCCTGGCCTCTTTAATCCTCCACTTAAGTCCCAATGCTTGGCAGTCAGAGTGTCCACGAGCTACCTGCTCTGCTCTTTCTGTATTAACTGCCTGTTTCATTTGCTGGCTGAATAATGTTTGAGATTCAGACAGGTAAGTAATCTACCTCTCAGTCCACTCCAACCGTTGAATTGGTTTAGGGCCTTGTTTTGTTCTACACAAGTGGCTAGGTGGAGCTCACTCTGCTGCCCTAGGCTCCAGAGGGCAGAACAGAGAAGGGAACAGCATGGTTACAATGGCAGTGCATAATCTGGAGTCAGAGAGAACTGAGTAGCACCCTGGCTCGTGCCCTTGGCTGTGTAACCACGCGGCAAATTCTTCAATCTGCCTTAGTTTTGTCATTGAAAAATAGGAAACTAACTGTTACAGGATTACTATGAGGATAAAAAAACACAATGCCTGGGGTCTGGCGTGCTGTCCTTGTGGCTAAAGTCCTTGCCTTGAATGTGCCAGTTCTAATCCCGGTGGCCCCACTTCCCATCCAGCTCTCTGCTTGTGGCCTGGGAAGGTGGTCGAGGATGATCCAAAGCCTTGGGATCCTGCACCCAAATGGGAGACGGGGAGGAAGTTCCTGGCTCCTGGCTTTGAATTGGTGCAGCTCTAGCTGCTGTGGTCACTTGGGGGGTGAATCATCGGAGGGAGGATCTTCCTCTCACTATATCTGACTTTGCAATAAAAGTAAATAAAATCTTAAAACAAACAAACAAAAAACCCAGCAAAACCACCACAATGCCTGTAACTAAAAATGTTGAATAATTACCATTCTTTCTCTCACTGCCCTGCAATTTCAATGTGCCAGGTACACACAACATAAGCACAGAGCATGTTTCAATTATCTGAGAAGAATGCCAAGTACAAAGTGAGAAATGGCTAAGAAATTGCTGAATCAACTGGCTCATGTTGTTCTTAAGAGGGCCTGTGTGACGTGGGACTCTTACCTTCTTTCTCTGTGGTGGGTTCTGGGGGGCAGAGGGGACTCCTTCACAGGCCCTTTCGCCACCAGGAGACATGGATCCACGAGAGAGGTCTTTCATGAAGCCATGTTCATATCTGCTAGGAAATCCTTCAGCAGGGGAACAATAGCCTCCATCCAAATGCAAAGGCTTCCTGTCTCCTCCAAGGGGAGAGCCTCGATACAGCCCGTCTGCTCGGGGCATGGCGTTCAAAGGGGAGTAGGCGTACATCAGGTTGAACTCTGTCCGAAATGCCTGGTCCGAGTTTCTCCCCAGAGTCTGGTGTCCATCTCCACTCCTGCCTGGGAAGCCAGTCTCAGAAGTGGGCACGACGGAAGGATGAGGAGCCAGGTCGGGCTGCCCTGAGGTGAGCAGGGAAGGTCTGTCTGCACAGCTGTTAGTGTTGGAGTCAAGGTATCCCACCTTTGTCAAATCCAGGTCTTTCCGGTGACAAAGCTGAAAGAATAAAAATCAAAAGACGTGGGGTAGGGGACAAAGGAAGATGTCAGCGGGCAGGAGGGAAGGGAGGCGAGGCAGACAGGTGAACAAGGGAAGAGGAGAGAAACCTGTTAGCATCTGTAACAGTTCCACGCTGTCTATAGGCCAGATTACTACAGAATCCAGATATTTCCCAAATTGATCTAAGTCTTTACGTCTGAGAATGCTGGGAGTCAGAGTTAGGTACCTGGCAGATGTGACTATTCTGCCTGCTGAGCCTTCCCTCAGGTCTGCTGAATCCCTGCACTGCAGTCAGGAACTAGGGCAACGGTTAGGGATTTACCTGAGCCCCATGCACACTACGAAGCTGAGACTGGTGTCTTAAGGCAACCGGCTTCTGGTGTTATTGATTTCTAATATTGATGGGGGGGGGGAGGGGGAGAAGGTGGAGGAAAGTAGGAGACAGATGGAAAAACAAGCATTTCAATGATTGGTTCAGGAGAGGAGAATGACATCAAAGATGTCAACCAAGCAGTTCTTCCTTCAGTTTCACCCTTACAGAAATTTCTCATACTGCTTTCTGGTCACTCGATTCTTTATCCTCTAAAGTATGTCAATCGATCACAAGACACTGATGCTCACCATTGCAGAGCATCTTAAACATGACCAATATGACTCCCACCTGTTACTGGCAACACATGAGACAGTTCATCACTAGGTCAACCACAGCCCACTCCCCATGAAGCACGGTAACAAAAAGTCAAGAGTTATGTTGCTCTCTGAATGATCTAAGTCCTTAACGACAGAGGAGAAAGCTTTATTTTCCTAAGACCGAGTCAAAACCTGCAAAATATCTCTAGGACTCTCATCAAGTACAGCTTTTTCCAGGCTTACACCGATGCATCACAATCCCATCTAGTCAGACTGCGGAAACTGTCACTGAGTTTAATCCAGAATTTTTACTGGAATGGGATGGGAACAAAGAACAATTACTTTCAGAAAGGTAAAGAGCAAACCCATCTTTTTTTTTTTTTTTAAAGAGGAAAAGGTTCCACATGGATTCAGATTAACTGCATCTGTACATATCTTATAATAGAAAACTCTAGCAATCAAACCTAAATTTAATATCTCCATAGCAGCAGGGTTTCTGGGAAAAACATATAATGACTATCCTAAAAGATACAACACACGCATCAACTGTATCCTAAATCCTCAGAACCCAAGTATCAACAACTGAACTGTACAGCACCCTTCAGGGGCCACACAGAAACCATGGGAACGCTAAGGCAGACGACTTTTTCATTCTGAGTGAACTACCGGACGAACCCTGGGATAAGGCATAAATCATTTCCCACTCCTGGACTGTCTGCTGCTCCTTTACTAGCCCAAGACAATAAATATCAGAACACAGCTTCTCGGAACTTCCTCATCAGCTAACAAAAGGAGTCCTGCCACAGAGTCTGCATCCCATAAACCTGACTTGTACATTCTATTCTTAATGCTCTTTAGCCAACCCCTCTCCCAAATGAGAAAAACAAACCCCAACTCAATTGTCCGTGCTCACACAAACACACATGCACACACTCACAGAGCTACTTCATCTTCCTCCACCTGCACCAACAGCCCTGCACAAGCACAGTTACACAGTCACTCAACTCACTGTGGTAGAGTAACCTCCCTCCAGCCCATCACCCCACTTTCTGGGATCCCCAGCCCTCCCCACACACTCACTCTCAGCCTCCAAGTGTGATTGAGATGGTGTGATAACTACCTCGGGTGACAGGGACTCGGGCCTATGCGCAGGGGAACTCTCAGGGGAGGATATGTTCTAGAGGAGGGAAAAGCATCTTGTTATTCATCTACTCCAAGTCAAGAAGCAAAACAAAACAAACAAAAAATAAAAGCAAGCACAGATGTTAGCCACAATTTTTTGGATGGAAGGGTGAGGGGCAGTAGGTTAGAATGCATAGGATGTTTAACTGCAGAACTTATCTCAATGGAGGGAATGACTTGTTAAAATGCTTCCTGCTTTCTGAAAGCATTTAAGGATAAAGTGGTTATGTTTGAGTTTTAAGTACACCTTTAAAGCACCTAACAGCAAAGTGACTGGTGAAAATTCCCACGTTTCCTTGTAGTAACCTGTGGTATTTGTCACTGAGGGGTACCCTCCCCTTATTCCTTAGAGATTTTCCCCTCTACTCCGGTACCCGTCTGCTTGTCACATCTTTTCTTCCCCCTAGGTGCTGTGAGTCTATCACTGATCAGGGGAACATTTTAGCATGCTGGGAGTTGACAAGGTTAGTGAGACGGAAGCATTCTTTCTAAGTGACACTTAAAGCAGGGTTCTGGGTGAAGAAGGGTGATTTTGGTGTGAAGAAGAGGGTCATGAGGTGTGTCCTCCCTGTGCTGGCGTCTTTACAGATGCTTCTATGCCTGGTTTTCTCCTGCTTAACTCTGCACCTTCTTCCTTTAGCACTGGATATTTTTCACAATTCTGAGTATCTCATTTCAGAAATACTCTTTCAGCAAACTGGTATTTACTTTTGACATCTTTTCAACATTTCTTTGTGTCATGAGCCCTGAAGACACCCTACACCTCTCTGTACCATGATATAGTGAAAAGCATGACCATCACAGTGGTGCTAAGAATGGGCCGGGGTGCTGAAGCCAAGCTTTCATTTTGAACTGGTGACAGACTACATTTCTTTGGTTAACTCCAAGATGATCCGAGTGGAATCACGCACAAGACCTTTCATGACAGTTATCTTTTACTGCAGGATTTCTAATATGGTGCCTGGACTCTTGATCCATACAACAACTTTGATTTTTTTTCCTATTCTAATAGACACCTCAAATTTGTACTGTATTTCATCGTCATTCAAAAAATACTGCAAGGGGCAGGAAATGCTGAGTACTGAATGTGCTGATTTTGGATGGTCACTTGCCTTCTGATGTCTACAATTTCACATTCATAATGAAATCTACACCAATAAAGCATAAAACTTTCTTCCTGTACTCTGCTGCCCTGCAAGGAGAATGTCTTCTCTTGAACTCCGCAAGTTGACAGAAACGCCTGAAGAATGCAGTGAGAGTTAACTTCCCTCCAAAAGTCAAATGTCACCATGAAGGTTCCCCACACAACTCCCCCAGCAGAGGTTTGCTCCCACAGCTCCTGAGGTCAAGAGTTAGATATCAGTACCCAGTTATACTCGTGAGGCTGCTTCTTCCCCTTACTGAGCCACTTCCCCAGTCTATGTAGCTTTAATCCTTGAGATCTCATCAAGGTTGAACAGGGAGGATGTGACTGGCTGGATCTCTGACCTTTATCATATATTCTCAGAGAAACAAAAGCTAAGAATGGAGCTCTGTGTGTTTAGTCAACAGAACAAATTATTTTGAAAACTTGAGAGACAGTGACTATCTTCCAATACAAATCAACATGCAATAGATGAGTTTCTATACACGATTCTACTGAAACATGTCACTAAAACTTTGATACTAAAACGATTCAGTTATATTTGAGAACAGTAAGACACACACTCCTAACTTTATCCAAAGATGAGTTGTATAAAATACATACGGCTAGCTTCTTGTCTACTTCTTCCCAGCACATGATAACAACCTGAACCGGAAAGAAAACCCTGCATTCGCCACATGCCACATCCCGAGCCTTTCTACATCTCTCTTCACTGAGGCTGCAAGTAAAACACAAAACCTGACAGAGACCACTCATCATTGCAAGGCCCAGAAATGAAGACACACTGCGTTAACAGGATCTGCACATTCAGGCTGGTGTTACTAAAGGTTGTGAGTGGCTGCGGAAATGCTCCCTTTCACCAAGGCATTAAAACAAACAAACAAACAAACAAAAAAAAAATAAGGGAGATCCAGGCAAGCCTACTACCTAATGTTTTAGAAACTGATGTATCACATGTGAAAGACCAATCCATGGGGTCAGACAGCCATGTTCCTATGTTGGGGAGCACAGAGGCTGTCAAGATGAGAGGTACACATAACCAGCCACAATGACTTTGAGGTTTTCCGTTTTCTGCTGAGATGGGGGAAGGAAGACAGCAAGGAAACACTTGGAATGATACTGTACTTTAAATCAAGAGGTACAAATGGTAATTTCATACCAAGCACTCCCAACAAACCAACCCAAATCACCTCAAACTGCAGAGGAGTGTTGCAGCGACTAGCAGTAGTCAGGGATGTGATTGGCGAGAACATGAGGCTGTATCCATTCCGACACTCCTCTTCTCCTGGATGAGATGGGCCAGGTGTGGTCAGCTGGGGGCTCTTTGAGCCTGAACCGGAAGGGGGTGGTGTGACTGGAGACAGAGGTCGAAGTAACTTGGTGACATTCTGTTCCATTAGATAGCGAGACTTCCATTTCTTTAATGGGCTCACCAAGTCTGTGAAACACAAAACTTGAGTGAGAACTTGCAATCAGAGTTTAAGTGAGGGTTCCATAGTCAAGTCACCAATATCTGCAACTAGCCTTCAAACCAATCTAATCTTTTTCCAGCACAAAACACAACTTTGCTTCTGTTGTATTCTTGAAAATATTACATCACTTGTTTTAAAAAAATCATCCTCTACTAAAATGCCACAGTACCAACTATAATTACTTGAACAGAGATGCATATTCCTTTCCGTTATCTCATAATTTGATCGAGTCAGTTACACACGATTTCTGCTCAGACTCCTGGCTTCAGCCTGGCACAGCCCCTGTGCTGTGGCCATTGGGGAGTAAATCAATGGATGGAGGAGTTTGTCTCTTCTTTTCACTGCAACTCTGCCTTTCAAATAGAAATAAATCTTAAAAATTAGTAATAAACGATTAGTAATTAGACCTGTATTTCATGTGTCATAGGACAGATCTATTGCATAAGCAATCTTATTAAGTAATATATCTCCCCTAAGAAATATGAAAAAAATTAAAACCCACCCTTTTTATGTTTAATAATGTTCAGACTGACATGCAGGAGGTAACGGCTGTATTTGGGTTCCTGACGCCACGTGGCAAATCTGCGTTCTGAGCCCCTAGCCTCGGTTGTTATAGACACTTAGAGGGAGAGCCAGCAGACATTAAGATCTTTGTCTCTCCTCTCACTTTTCAAATATAACCTAAATTATTTACTTAATCCCTAGTGCATGGAAAGGTCTGCACAAGGCTCATGGGCATGGCTCATTGCTCACATCTGCTATTCTCAAAACACGTGAAGCATATGTAATACTGCATCATCAAGAGAGCTGACCCACATGCTATGAATCGGTGAAAAAATGACTATCTTAAAGTGGTATTTACATATCAGATTTCCTACAAGCTTTATGTAAAGTACTAGACTGAGCTGCTAAAAGTAATTATTTCACACAAAATTTGAAGTATAATCCTAAAGGTCAAGAGAACTTTGATGACACAAATGAAAATTTCACTTTTGTCTTCAAAACTAGGTTAAATTACATCTCTAAGACACAGTGTAACGAGTGACAGTAGGAAAGGTATGAGTCAGCAGGTCATGACCCACACTTTGGGAAGAGTCATTTGGCAGCAACAAGATGAAACTGGTAACTTGGAATCTGATGATACCAGAATAGTTAACAAAAAGAATTATAAGGCAATGATTGAGGTAGATTTTTTAAGAAATGCCCAAGTGGTCATAATGGCTGGAACTGAGCTGATCCAAAGTCAGAAGCCTGGAGACTCATCTGGGCTGCAAATGGGAGCACAGGGCCCCAAGGCTTTGGGCCGTCCTCAATTGCTTTCCCAGGCCACAAGCAGGGAGCTGGATGGGAAGTGGGGCTGCCTGGATTTGAACCAGCGCACGTATGGGATGATGAACTTGTATGTAGAGGATTAACCAGCTGAACCATCCCATCAGCCCCTAATTTAAATAATTCAAAAAATATATTTATTTTTAATTTATAAATCAGAGAAAAAAAGAGAGAGAAAAGATCTTTCATTGGTTGGTTCACTTCCCAAATGGCCTCAAAGGCAAAAGCAGCGCTAGGCCAAAGCCTAGAGCCTGGAATGTTACCTGGGCTACACACATTAGTGGCAGGGGCCCATTCATTTGTGCCTCTTGATCTTTTGATGTTTTCCCAGACACACTAACAGTAAGCAGAATAAGATGAGCTGCAGGGCCTGGTGCAGTGGCCTAGTGGCTAAAGTCCTTGCCTTGAACGTGCCAGGATCATGTATGGGAGCCAGTTCTAAACCCTGCTTCCCATCCAGCTCCCTACTTGTGGCCTGGGAAAGCAGTCGAGGATGGCCCAAAGCTTTGGGACCCTGCACCAGTGTGGGAGACCTGGAAGAGCTCCTGGCTGCTGATCGGCACAGCTAAGGCTGCTGTGATTACCTGGGGAGTGAATCAACAGATGGAAGAATTTTCTCTCTTTCCTCCTTTTATATATATCCGACTTTACAATAAAAATACACAAATTTTCTCCATGTTGCTTTTGTGACCCAGGCGAGTGACACTACTTTGTGGCCCAGACCCACAGATCCCACACTGGAGTGCCATGGGGCTGGACTGAGCTTCACTCCCAATTCCTGTATGATGGTTCAGTGGCTAAAATGCTCGCCTTGCACATATCAGGATTTCTCTCATTTGGGTGATGATTTGCGACCTGGCAGCTCCACTTCCCTTGTGGCCTGGGAAAGCAGCTCCCTGCTTGTGGCTTGGGAAAGCAGTTGAGGACGGCCCAAAGCTTTGGGACCCTCCACCCGTGTGGGAGACCTGGAGGAAATTCCTGGATCCTGGCTCCGGATAGGCACAGCACGGGCCGTTGCACTCACTTGGGAAGTGAGTCAAAAAAAAAAAAAAAAAAAAAAAAAAAAAAAAAAAAACCTGTCCTTCTCTTTGTAAATCTTTCTTTCCAATAAAAACACGTAAACCTTACAAAAAAAATCTTGGTTTTGCAAACCTATTCTTGAAGAACAGGTACCTGAAATAACAACTTCTAGGTTAAGGGTTATACACAATTGCAACATACATGATAACCTCACCAAATTTTTACCATGGACATTACTCTATTTTTATTACAAATCATTTCCCAATATATTAACCATCTTTAAATTCAGGGAAAATACAGATACAAACAAGGATGGTACAGTTTGAAAAAACAAAAAAGCAAATGTTCTTAGAACTCTGTGTCACATCTTTCTAGTTTGTCAAGGGTGTTTCTGATGACTGCGCTCCACCTTTCCACACGCGCACCCATCTTTGCAGCAGTAGCATACTCATGATGAGGTTCAGAATTTCAGGAATTATAACTACTCTGAGAACTGTGTGATGCAAGAGACAAATGGGGTATCTGTGTATACATGCATTATTTATTTTTTTCCATGAATGAATGAAATCTTTTTCTAAAATGTAAAAAACATTGCACTTCAAAACTACTAAGTTTTCTTAGTATATAAATGGCGCTGATTTTTGCATATCTGTGTTCTATTCAACTGGTATTAATTATATTTTCAAGATTTTTTCAGTTAAGTAGGAGGGTCTGGTATGGTAATATAGTGGCTAAATCCTCACTTTGCATGCGCCAAGATCCCATATGGGCACCAGTTCATGTCCTGGTTTCTCCACTTTCTAAGCAGCTACCTGCTCGTAGCTTGGGAAAACAGTTGAGGATGGCCCAAAGCCTTGGGACCCTGCCCATGGATGGGGGAACCAGAGAAAGCTCCTGGCTCTGAATCAGCTCAGCTCCGGCCTTTGAGGCCAATTTGGGAGTGATCCACCAAGAGACGGAAGATCTTTCTCTCTAAAGAACTTTCTAATAAAATAAATCTAAAACAAACGAACAAACCAACAAAAAACCCACATACAAATATATATGTGAACTTTTTGCAGAAATAAAATGTCCAATATAATCTAAAAATAGTTTAAATACACACATTTAAGGAGTTTTTGGAAAGCTCAGAGCAAATGCATACTACCTAAAAATAATTAAATAAATAAAAAGAACGTGCATAGCAAAGGTTTTTTTTGCACCAAAGTAATGCTACAACCTACCTTTTAAGTGTATGTGAACTTTCTGAAGTATTCTCCTTCTCCTAGGAGAAATTTTTTTTAAAGATTCAGTTTTATTTATTTATTAAATATTTATTTTTATTGGAAAGGCAGATATACAGAGAGGAGGAGAGACAGAGAGGAAGATCTTCCATCCAATGGTTCACTCCGAGCCAGTCAGGAGCCAGGGGCTTCTTTCGTGTCTCCCATGCAAGTGCAGGGTCCCAAGGCTCTGGGCCATCCTCGACTGCTTTCCCAGGCCACAATCAGGGAGCTGGATGGGAGGCAGGGCTGCTCGGATTTCAACTGGCGCCCTTATGGGACCCTGGCACGTGCAAGGCAATGCACGTTTAGCTTCTAGGCCACAACACCTGGCCGCAAAGTTCCCTTTTACCCGTCATTCATTTATTTGGGAAGCAGACAGAGCAAGAGCTTATCCGTTGGCTTTTCTCTCTGAACACACGCAATGAGTAGGTTACGGAACTGAATCTCACGTGACAAGCAGGATCCCACGTTTTTCAGTGACTAGCTGCTGCCTCTACAGGTAAGTCCCAGCAGCAAGCTGGAGCTGGAGCTGGAGCTGGAGCCGGAGGCAGAATCCCAAGAATCCCCAGAATCCACATGTGCAGATGTCCTAACAGCTGGGTTCATATTTATCCCCTCCCATGAGCTTTCATGAAGTGCCCTTATATAGTCATCTAATTTACAAACATTTGACATTTTTGGTCCTTCAATGTTTTTAAGTACATTGGCCTGGTATTGCACTAAGCATCTTGAGGGCAGCATGTATTAGCCATACAAGCAGACAGTTCTACTTTACACTCTAAGCAACTGAATCAGCAACAGGTAGAGGTGGCCTCCACAAAAAGCCCATTTGATTCTTTCTCCCAAACTCATCTGTCTGCTGTACCCATCTTCTTGGTATTCCCAAGCAAATGACATACATCCACTTCTGCACCATGCTTGATTTTTAAATGAGTCATTTTGCTGCTGTTGATGTTACTCCTTACAGACTGGCCATGTGCTGCTACTCGAGACTATGGTGGTAGTCCTCAACCACTCCAGAGAATCCACAAACGCACCTAGCCCATATTTTAGCTACTTAGGACATGCATGGCTAACCAATAATGTAGCACAACCGAAAGTATGGCAGGCAGGTGCATAGAAAGAAGGAGAGATAGAGAGAGGGAAATTTCCTATCCATTGGTTTATTTCCCAAATGGCTGCAATGGGCAGTACTCTCCCATGTAGGTGCAGAGGCCCAAGTACTTTTTTGGGTTGTACTCCCAGGCACATCCGAAGGAATATAACTGGAAGTGTAGTAGTCAGGACATGAACCAGTGCCCATCTAGGGTATCGGTATTGCAGGTAGTGGCTTAAGGAGCTGTACAACATCAGTCCCTACTTCTATTAATCTTATTTAATTCAATCTCCCTGATATTTGATGAATAGAATAAAAATAATTTAAATAAATGTATTGATGATCTCTCCTAAGCTCCATTATGATTTTATTATGCTGGGGTTATGTACACAGTCACTCACAAGGTAAGATGCAAAATATTATGAACAAATTAAAATAATGATAGCACACTTTCTACAAATAAAAATTTAAAAGCCCAAAGCATAACCTTAATATAAAGCAGAATGACTGAAATCCAAGTAAATTCATCACAATTATGCAGCAAGGAACAACAAAACAGTTTGTTTGAAAGTCTGAAATACTATGTTAGTGGCAGCACTACAGGCGCTTCAGCCCATTTCAGAATGCTTTGATTGTTTAAGTCATAACATTGATTCAAAAGTAAATTGAGGGGGCCCGGCGCGGTGGCGCAAGTGGTTAAGTCCTCGCCTTGCACGCCCGGGATCCCATATGGGCGCCGGTTCTAATCCCGGCAGCCCTGCTTCCCTTCCAGCTCCCTGCCTGTGGCCCGGGAAGGCAGTCGAGGACGGCCCAAAGCTTTGGGACCCTGCACCCGCGTGGGAGACCCGGAAGAGGCTCCTGGCTTCGGATCGGCATAGTATCGGCCCGTTGCGCTCACTTGGGGAGTGAATCATCGGATGGAAGATCTTCCTCTCTGTATATCCGCCTTTCCAATGAAAAATAATAAAAATAAATCTTAAAAAAAAAAAAAAAGTAAATTGAGGGAACTCAAGAGAATTTTAATGAAGTTGATTCTGGTAAGAAAAACATGGGTTAAAAAAAGAGACTGTTCTGAACAAAATGAATGACAAACTAAGGCATCAATGCTTTCAGTTAGAAGCCTGGAGTAAGAGTCCTGTGAAGACCAACAGACCAGGTCATTTCTCATGGCCTTCAAGTTCAAGGTTTCTGGGGACTTGGAACTGGATGTTACATCACTATCTTCTGGAAAATTTCCACTAGTTGTAAAGTCCTTTTGAATACAATTAGTTTATAAGTTCTCATTTCGTTAATCCTCTTGCCCCTCAACCAAAACTCACCCAAGTTATTAATTCAAAGAAATTTTTAAAAAGATTTATTTTTATTGCAAAGTTATATAGAGAAGAGGAAAGAGAGAGAAATATCCTCTGTCTGATGATTCACTCCCCAAGCAGCCACAACTGCCAGAGTTGAGCCAACTGAAAGCCAGGAGCCAGGAACTTCCTTCAGGTCTCCCACACGGTGCAGGGTCCCAAGGCTTTGAGCCGTCCTTGACTACTTTCCCAGGCCACAAGCAGGGAGCTGGATGGGAAGTGGAGCTGGGGGAGTTAGAACTGTCGCAAATATGGGATCCCGGTGCGTTCAAGGTGAGGACTTTAGCCACTAAGCCCCAGAGCCAGGACCTCATTCAAACTTTTGACTCTTTTCTGATCACTTTCTTGCCCTTCCCCCCGCTTAAAATTATGCATATAGATGTCCTAAACCTACTACTTTAAGTGTATCTAATCTTCCCAAAACCATTTCTGCTGTTATCTGAGTACTGTCTAGTTCCTTCTTTGTCGTCCTGGGAAAACTGATCCCTGCCTTGAGCTCTCTCTTCCTCTGTAAAGACAGATGTGAGTTAACTCTTCAGAGAACATGCTATCTCCTATGTATACCACAAGTAGCAACCCTGTAACCCAGCATGTGCACATCCATTCCCAAGTAGCTCATACCTGCATTGTCCTTGCAGATACTAGAAGAGTTACTGTTCTCTTGACTTTGGTATAGCTGCTGAGTTCTCGTCTCTGGGGGTGCACACGATGTCTGAGTCATCCCTTCCTCCAAGGCTTGCTTTATCCAGCGCTAAAATGGGAAGAGAATCACAGAATTATTCATAACCATTCAAACACTGCTGTCTACACTTATTTCCAATACACTAACCAGGTTATTAGGTGTCAGCTGGTCAGAGATGCAATCCAACACATTCACTTGGTTCCACATTCAAGTATCTTCCTGCCTTGTTTTTTTCCACATTACAAAACTGCCCCTTCCATTCTTCTCCCAGAGAAAACTAACAAGACTCGGAAATCAAAACCAGTACAATTTTGACTGATTTAATTTTTCATACTGCTTAGCATGGAACAAATGCTAAGAAATAAGGAAGAAATCTTAACATTTATCAAGATTCTGATCACACAGAGTAAAATTAGCAGGTAAAATAATGCATAAAAGGAAAATGGAGAACTATAAACAGATGTCTGCCTGGGGCAGGGGAAATCAGAAGATCTAACAGAAAAGATCCACAGGGAATACTCTGGAGGAAAATAAATAGCTCCTCACTGCAGATACCAAAGATTCTAAAGGGTCTGTTCTAAAAGGCTTATAATCTGTGGGATGTCCCCACCGTGTCACATAGTTTGGCTATGTTCTGTATGAGTAACACAAATCATCAAAAGAAAGGATCTGCAGAAATAAAAGAATGCAAACAAATCCAAACCAAACACCCCTCTAACAGTCTCTTTTGGCAGTGAATACTGGGATCTGTGTGGGGGGAAACAAATTTGGGTCAAACAAAAAGCCTAACAAGAGAAGGGTAATAAGATCGCACATTCTGTGGGAAAGAGAACACTTCTCATCTGTGACTGCATTCTATTGAGATACAGAGGTGTAGGTTGCTCACCACTGTACGGCTCTCCTGCTCCATGTAAGACAGACTGAACCCTGGTAAACATCAATTTTGAAGTCATACCCTCTCTCAAACAGTTAGAGCCAAGGTGAATTAATTATTTTTATACTTTAGACAACACATACTGTGGGTAAATACATATTCTCTCACCAAAGAGGAACATTCTGATAGATTTCCCTTTTCGCAGTTGAGAAAGTATTCCAGGAAAGGTCTCCCAAGAAAAATCTCACATCACATAAATGCCAATGTAAAAATGAGGATAAGAGTGAATATGCACATGAAAAGATCTCAATGTCATTTCAATCACATCAGTATCTTAAGATACGACTACGCCAGTGAGAAGCCAAAAAAAATCAAGAATGAATTCTCTTACATGCAGAATATTGATGCAAAGTTGAACTGTCAGAACCATAGATCCTTACAGCTTAGAAGAGACCTCAGAGATTATCTTGTCCAAAACACTCACTTTACAGATGGGGTAAATTAGGTCTAGGAGGACAAAACGAGTGAAAAAGCCTGTTACAGATACCTTTAGTACAAGTTTTTCTTCTCAGAGCAGATGACAGAACTCACTTGGGTTCACTGAGCTTTCCTCTGAGAGAAGTAAAAAAAAATTTTTTTTATCTTTGCTGTGTCAAGTAGATGTTATCCATAAAAGAATCCACATTCTGGATGTGATGACTACAAAAAGGGAACATAAAACCAACAGGGACATTCTGGGAATAAGATGCCACTACGGTTGGCAATCAGGTTAAACACAGCACATACAGTCAAACTCATTCTCTTGGCCCTGTTAACAATTTTTAAAGTATTTCAGGACCCACGTAAAAAGGAACAGAAATACTTGTATCTAATAAATTCCCATTACCCCCATGGATCACCAATTAATTTTGGACTCACTTCCCCACATGCTCAAATTCTGTTTATGAAATCATAAAACAAAAGCAGATCTTAGGAGGCATAAACACGAATGAGAGAAATGTTTTTAATTGTCTCAGTGTGGAGAAAGAGTAGGAAGGTTTTAGGATCCAAAGACATCTGAGTTCAAACTTGGCCTTGCCACTTATGGGCTGACTTATTGTAGACAAGAGCACAGCTTCCAGATCTGAAATTTGAGGTCAACAATCCAATGATAAAGGGTCATCACAAACACTACACGAGTTGCTCATGAGATGAAGGATATGAAAAAAAAGTCTGCAGCACAGTGCTAAGCACACAGATCTTCAACTTCAGCGCTCAACTTAGAGACGCACTGACCAACTAAACCCTAAAGAACAACGTTTCATTATCAGCCAGGCCGGTTTTCTAAGTAATCTGGGAGATCCAAGGTTATCTCTAGAAGGTCAGCAGAGAACAGGGCAGGACATCACTAACAGACTTGATGGTCACTAATAACTGTTTCTCCTTAAAAATAACTTAAAAGTCTAAAAGCAAATACATAATCAGAAAACGCCTTTGAATAACCGTAAGGATTCAATTCACCAACACCAGATACACAAACATCCTGTCAAATTCTCCAAGAATATGGTGACAAACTTACACATATGATATTATTCTGTCTTGCATTTATTTTAACTTAAAAGTATCCCAATGAGAAATAAGACATTGGGCCTGTGAGGAATATAAACTATCCTAAGTGATCTCACAGAAGGGGGTTTGCCTCATGTATCAGCCTCATTCATTCTCTGAAGAACTTTCAGAAACTCCCTAAGATGGTATTTGATCATGGGCAAATTAGAACCCACAGCAAATGAACCTCTTTTAACATGCGTAAGAAAGTGCTTTGCCATACTCACCTAGGAGCAAGCTGAATTCACTTTCACACTAAAAGACCCCATTTAACTTATTTTAGCTGATAAAAATCTAAAAATCTGGTAAACTAGATTACATTTGTTTTAATGTAATCTTGACATGTTTACATCAAATATTAAGGTAGTGATCTGAATAATTCAGGTCACGACTTTTAAAATGTACAATGTGAACAGTCTTGTTATAACTTGGTGACCATGAAACACACACAGATGCAAGTTGTGGAGCACAGTCTATGTAACACAAAGCCTGCGTAACACAAGACTAAGGAAGGCCTGAGAGACTATCCCATAGATCTACATTAAAATAAGATTCTCCTTGTTGTCTGTAGAGACAAAACATAAAGAAGGTACAGACTCAAGCCCTAAATCATGACTAGGCAAAAATAGCTCAAAGAAGGTGATTTCTTAGAGATCTAAAGGCATGGAACATATGATTTTGGTTTCCATGTCTCTGCTACCAGGGAAAGCAGAAACACAAGGCCACTGAGAAGATCATACTATTTCACAACTCAGACTCTCATACTGCTCTGCACTGAGCTGTCTTTTGAATTTTGAGAAGACATTTTGTACTATTTTTGGGAAGATTAAGAATAAAAGGAAAAGAAGTTTCATATACATTATCTCTAAACTTGCTCTTCCTTTGAATACAGACCATAAAAACATCCCCTATAAATTTTGGCACTGTTCGCAAATGCGGTCCTAATCCTGGACTTTCACTTCTAACAAGGGACTGAGCATGCTAAACCAGGAGAGGAATTTTGAGTACTACACACCACACCAGAGTTGGCAGCTGTCCAGTTACTATAGATGTTTAATCACAAGGCTCACTGCAAGGAAAATAGTTTTCTTTAAGATACATTAGTCTTTCAAAGTGAACTGATACCAAAAAAATACTCTCAGATTTCTAACTTTCCCTTTAATCATTAATGATTATGTAATGTTCTGTTCTTATTTAAAAGACAGTCACCAAGATTTGCTTCTGACATCTAAATGTCATTCAAGTTATTAACATTACATGTAAATTTCTCTGGCAGGGATTTTGTGAGCACATTTTTCTTTAGGATATTTCCTACTTAGGAAATTCCCCAGCAAGTGACTCAAATCCTTAGGTAAGATGTGCAGTTTGGAGCAGACACTGTGTAGTGTGTTGCTCGTCCACAGTTGTGCCTTCCTTTTTGCAGATTCCTGTTGCCCTCCTCCTCCCCTCCAAATCCCATACCCTTTTGGCTCATCCTTTAATGTCCCCCTCCCCCCAAGAAATAATTTCTGTTCTTTGGGAAAGATAAAAGCTTTAAGTTTGGAGGAGTCAGGGAAGACCTGCCTGGAGCTGGAGACTTCATCCCATCAAATAATCTACATGCAGCATCCTCATGTACGTGATGCCAGTGGAGGAGGGCAATGGCAGGCACTGAGGAAGGCAGCCTGAATCCAGATCTGAGGATAAGAGAAAAGGATGTTCCAGGGAACAGACTCTACCCCAAAAGAAGACCTACACTCTAGAAACACAGGCATGACACTACACCTCTGAGGGAGTGATGTATTCCTACGAGACACCTTTGGAAATTGTACATGGCTTGTAGGTATTAAGAGAGAGTATTCCAAAAACAACTACCAGACACCACTCCACTAGATCCAAGAGAGGAGGAAGAGGCAGAGAGAGGCAGAGCGAGACTTTTTATAGTAGTTGAACTGTCACTTGGTCAAGGAATAGAAATCATGCCAATTACAATAGAAATTTTCTGTTGATCTCCAATAAGTGATAGTAGCAATTAAATGAATTTGAAACACAATTTGATCAGGCAACTTGGGGCCCAGTCTCACAATAATCACAAATGAACATTTTAGTCAATACCACAAGAGTACACATGAAAACATAACCCTTCCTACGCACTCATCAACTGCTGTGTACTCTCACTCAGTGATCTCCAGGGCTCTCAGAACAAATAGTGAATACTCACAAATGAGCATCAAAAAACAAACAGCCCACCTCAGTTTTACTCTTGATGTATCAGCAGTCATGGCTGAACAAAGCTGACTCATTACTAACTCACATGGGCGGAGGCTATCTAGACGATCTGTTTGATATATCACAATTATAGGTGTCCCGGGGTGGGGTGGGGACCCTCCTGTCCCCCAAACTGAAAATACTACATAAACAAACATACCTTCTTACAGGAGCTGAAGGTGCCATCAGGCAGGACAGGCCTTCGCCGCCTCTCAGGCATGAAGGGTGAGCCAAAGCGAATGTAGTGTTTGGGGGTGGTGCAAATTAATGGGGAGTGAATAAGGCCCGGTAACATGTTCAGGGTTGTTGCCAGTACAGTTGGGTCCGTGGTGATACGTAATGGGCACTCAACTGGGACCTCTTGCTTCTCTGCTTTGTCATTCAGCCATTCTGTAACTAAATACTATGATTAAAAAAAAAAAAAAAAAAAAAAAAAGACATGGTTAGCTAATGCTGCGAATGCAAATCAACAGGCTATAGTGTTCATCACCAAGACAGATCTCATGGAGAAATTAGAAGCAACAGCAGTAGCTACAAGACTATGCACTGGGCATCAGACCAAAGATATGTTCCCTTACCCTCCCCATATCCAACAAGAGAGGAACAGCTCTGTCAGTGAAATGTCTGCCTCATAACAAGGGATCAAGAAGAAGGCACTAGAATGGCTTCAGTTTTCTGTTATTTTATCCAATGTAATAACATGGAGATGAATATTTCTCTGGAGATTGATTATAGGACTTGTTATCCTACTAGGAGAGCTCTTCCCTGAGCAGATGTAACAAGATGTGGTCATGGCTTACCTTTTTGGTTTTAGGATATTTAGATGCAGCACGGTTGACATGGGATCCAGTAACTGACACCACAGTCGGGTCAGATCCCGTTAACTGCCTGTTTTCTCCTGCACTGTCTACACTCCCAGATTCAGTAGGAGTTATTGAGCTGTTATTTCCTCCCTCCTCCAGGGTGGCTTGAGACAACTCTGCTTGCTGTGCACTGGCCTGCTTCTGCCGCTTCAGTCTTTGGGCTGAACTGGTCCGATAGCGAGAAATTCGGCTCTTCGGTCGGGGCCGAGATGGCTTCGCTGGAGGTGGTTTGGTGACTGGTTTTTCAGCAGCGATATCCTATAAAAATAGTAAGGTCAAAGTTTACCAATAAATATTTGCTTTCTCATTCATTCTTCCTTAAGAGATTTATTTATTTGTTGAAAGAGTTAAGAGAAAGAACAGAAACATTTTCCCTCTGCTGGTTCTCCCTCTAAATGGATACAATGGACAGGGCTGGGACAGGCCGAAGCCAAGAACTTTTTTTGAATGAACTTTTCAACCACATGAGTGGCAGGGACTGAAACACTTGCTGCTTTTTCCAGGCTATCAGACAGGAAACTGGGTGAGCCCTGGAGTAGGGATGAGCAAACCAGCACTGATTCAGGATGACAGTTATCAATATCTATTTTGCCAATAACTTGATGTAGAAAACAAAGACAAAGACAAAGGATGCTCAAGAGAAAATGAACTCCCACTGGTTGGTTCAATCCCACAAATGCCTGCAGTGCTGGGACTGGACAAGGGCCAAAACTGGGAATCCAGATTTTAGAGCAAGACCTCTGTGTTGTTTAGCAACCCACTCACTGGCGCCTCACAGACTACACACCCAGCAAAGTGGAGTGAGGGACTGGGTTCAGAACTCAGATGTTACAATATGGGATGGTAGAATAGATGCCCACCAAACCTATTCACTTTAAGTACTGTGAATGCTTACTAGCAAAAAAAAAAAGATTAAAAAATATTAACTTAGAATTCCTAAAATCAGTTTAAACACACAAGCTAACCAGGTGGCAGAAAAAAATACATACATACATACTTATATATAAAAACATATAAAAATATATGACTTATTTATTTTTGTTGGAAAGACAGATCTATGGAGAGGAGAGAGAGAAGAGAAATATCTTTCCTCCATTGGTTCACTCCCCAAATGGCCAAAGCAGCTGGTGTTGAGCAGATCTGAAGCCAGGAGCTTCTTCTGGGTCTCTCACATCAGTGCAGGGCCCCAAGGTTCTGGGCCATGCAAACCCCAAGCAGGGAGCTGGATGGGAAGCGGAACAGCTAGGACATGCACTGGTGCCCAAATGGGATGCTGGCGATTGAAAGGGTAGGATTAACCAATTGAGCCATTGCACCAGACCTAATTTTATCTATCTCTAATCATGATAAAAAGTAGGGCAACAATTAGCTAAGGAAATCACTTAATTTTAGGGTTTTTGGCAGAAAAGAAAAATTCCTTTTGTTTTCCAGAAACTGAAGTTTCAGCTTAAGGCTCATGGCTAGGGTAGGGAAAGAAAATATTGGTTTATCCCGAGAATCCCATGGATGGTCAGGTACAGATTATACTCAAGGTACATAAAAGAAACTAAGCAATAGACTCGGCATGGTAGTCTAGCGGTTGGAGTCCTCGCCCTGCATGTGCTGGGATCCCACCCATATGGGCACTGGTTCTAATCCCTACAGTCCTATTTCCCATCTAGCCCCTTGTTTGTGGCTTGGGATTACAGCTAAAGCTAGGGCTTTGGGACCCTGCGCCCGTATGACAGACCTAGAAGAGGTTCCTGGTTCCTGGCTTCTGATTGGCTCAGCTCCCGCCACTGTGGTCACTTGGGGAGCGAATCATTAGATGGAAGACCGTCCTCTCTGTCTCTCCTCCTCTCTGTATATCTGGCTTTTCAATAAAAATAAATAAATCTTAAAAAAAAAAAAAAAGGTAAAAGGAGACTAAAATCATAATAAGCCAATTCCAAAAGGACATGTCCTGTTCTCTCCGATATAAGGCAAGTTTCATATAAAATACAAGATCAGCAGATACACAGGAAAACATATATATACACAAATTTATCTAAAAGAACTGTATAAAGGAGGCAAGAATACCAAAGAGTGGAGACACATCGCAGTATGCCATCTCTACTTGTGAACGGAACTCCCAATGAAATTGTTAGATATATCTTTTCACAATAGAATACTGAACTTTCTACTGGTATAAACAGAAGAATGATAGATTTATGACTGTTTATGAAGGACTATATTATTGTTATAATATAAGGGAAAACAGCGAGGGCATGGGGAATGGGAAGGGTGGAAAGAAGAAATCCCTGAGCCTAAGCAACTGTATCACTCACGTAAACTCATGACCAACAGTTACTGCATGAGAAACAGTACCAAGTGCTATTTAATTTTAAAGCGTCATTCAAGTTTTGATATTATCTGCCTCCCTGAGTTCCGTCTATCAGCTGGTAAAAATGCCACCTGGCTTTACTTGTGGTACAGGGCAAAGCTGAAAGGCCTGATTCTAAAAGACATGCAAGAAAAGTAACTGGCAGTAGCCAAGGCACCGGTGTCTAATCCCTGGAGTCATCTCTTCAACTCTTACCCCTGCTTGGGAAGACCTCCGGGTGTTCACACCAACACTCTGTGGGGTGCTTGGGACAGCAGTGTTTGAAGCAGGATTGCTAACTTCCACTTCAGGAGCTTCAGCTTTTGCCTCTTCTCCCACAGGAGTCTCCAAGACAGCAGCAGTGACCTCGGTATCTGAGCTGCATTGCTCAAAGGGTGGATCTCGTCGTTTCTTTCTCTTCTCTAAGCTCTCATACGCGTGCATGATGGCTTCAACCTTCTTATCCTCCCGGGTCTAAAAACAAAGAGTACAAGAATAGAAAGAAGCATAAACAAAGAGGAGGGGACAGACTTTTCTGGAGTATGATTAAAGTAATACACAGAAATTTACCAGGATGACATATATATTTTGGAACACACACGCACAAACACTTCATTTTAAATATGGGTAAGCTACATGACAAGGCCAGGCCACACTTGAATTTCAAAAATAGATATTAAAATAAGAAGATCATAAAATAATTTATTCTTGGTAAGTTCTACAATTCATAAAGAAGCAAGTAGATTTTCCTGGAACTTCTCAGTAATAGGAACAAACTTACTGGCTTTAGCATAAAAGGTAAATTACTTTAATCCATATACTAAAAAGATTTAGAAGAAATCACTCATAAACTTAGGAAATTACTCAGTAAAATTACCCTGATCTATCTAGCTTTGGTCTTCTCAGTCTGAGACAAAACTGTTAGTAAGCCATCTTGAAAAGTCAATTTTTTATACAAGATTTACTTATTTTTTATTTGAAAATCAGATATATAGAGGAGGAGAGAGAGGAAGATCTTCCATCCACTGATTCACTTGCCAAGCCACAATGGCTGGTGTTGAGCCAATCGGGAGGAAGGAGCCAGGAGCCTCCTCCAGGTCTCCCATACAGTGCACGGTCTCAAGGGCCATCCTCAACTGCTTTCCCAGGCACAAACAGAGAGCTAGATGGGAAGTGGAGCAGCCGGGATTAGAACCAGTGCTCCTACGGGATCCTGGCGCATGTAAAGTGAGGACTTTAACTGCTAGACTACTGCGCTGGGCTCAAAAATCATCTTGAGATAACAAGTCAACTGATAGCTCCTTCATTATGCGCAGAAAAACAGAAGTATGAAGTGTGACAATATCTACTTAAAGGAAAAGGCCCGAGTTAAAATCCCTATGTCAAATCCATGAGATCAAAGTCAGGAGAAGAGGCATCACATGTTGCAGGCAGCAGGAGAGTTAATAAGGAGGTTCAGGAGAGTTAATAAGGAATGCTAGATGGCACTCACCCTCCTGCTGTGGGTGAGGTTCTCCTGGTCATCTACAACCTCTTCTTTCTCTTCTTCTGCTTTTTCTTCTGGATTGTCTACTTCCTTTAACAGAGGCAATATTTAGCTGTATTCATAAGTTCTGTGAAAAATCAACCTCTTGTCTAATTATGGTAGCTTAAAACTTTCTAGAAATGATTTCTCGTGTTCTAAAGCATTCATGAAAAGGTACATGAACGAAACCCAGAATGCAGTTGAAAGGATTATTTAAAAAAAACATAAACAAAGACAAAACAAAAAAAAAACCAAACAATAAAAAAATGAATGTACCCCAACCCATTGATACAAAGGGCATTTCACCGTTATTGTATCTTTCCTAAAACAAAATGGCATTATCAACTGACTGCTGTTAATTACCTCATGATCACTGGATACATGAACTTGTTCTGGAACTTCTTTTGGCTGCTGGTCATTGTTGCCCCCTGTGGTCTCATTCTGCTGTTCCATCTCTAGCTCTTTCCGTCGGGCCTTTCTGCGTCGGGTCTCTGCTCCCACAGTAGGCAGGCTTGGAGGTGGGAGTGGCAGTTCTGCAGCATTGGGATTTCTTTTCTGTATAGGGCAATTCCTGTTTCCTTTGTGACACGCACAGTCCACTTTGTAATTACTGCTCCAAAGAAATAACCAAAAGTACCTGGCTCAGTTATCTCTGAGTATCAGTTTTATCATTTCCACTCATTGCCTTAAAACGGTATCACAGTAAATTGTTATGGTAGTATGGCTGAATAAGTTTAACAAACATTAGAGACTTTCTATGATTATTTTTAATACTCTGTGGTTCTCTGCATGTCATCATGAACTCTACTCTTACGTATGACCAATGCAAAGGAAAGAAAGCTCTCCTTAAGACCATTCTCCCAACTGCTTTTCTGTGAAGCAGCAGCCTTACTTGGGGCTGATATTGCGGCACAGAAAGTTAAGTTGTCACTTTCTGTGATGCCAGCTTCCTACAAGAACGTTAGTTTGAGTTCTGGCTGTTGCATTTATGAAGGTCATACATTTCGTCTGTCTACCCTCACCATGTCCTCATTTTACCCAACGATGCCTTTTCATTAGTGTCTTTTCTTACAGCTTGGAGCTGAGACCAGTCTAAAGACACAAACTCTGATTTGCCCAACAGGACTAAGGCAGAAAAGTATCAACTTTATACAAAATCCATCACAAACATTTATGTATGATTCATTGTTTGCATTTTTGTGCAGACATGGATATTATGGTTTGTGTACATGAGGATGGTTCTTTAATTCCCACTCAATTACAGGGTGAATGAATCTTTAAATTCTTAGGCTCCATGAATCTTAATATAACTGCACCTAGTATAACACTATACACAACTGTAACCTCAGTGTTTAGTTATGAATCCTTTTGGCTATTCTAAGGAGGCATAAGACAAAATACCTTTGTTAGAGGGCTTGTGAATATTATCATACAACATACCTATATCCAAAAGAAAAATATCACCTTACCCTTCACAACTTATATGCAGAAAACATGCTACAGAAGGACCGAAGCAAGAAATAGCAATGAATGAAAGCAGAATTTCAACAGAGTTGAAAAGCTGAATGTGTACTTCCAAAGCCTTACCAGTTACTGTACTCATAATCAAAGGCTATGGTGACCTCAGCATCCTTGGTGATGGCAGACACAGCATAGATACACAAGTGAATCATCCCATCTGCAATCATGTGTCGCACCTGTGAAAGAAGGTTTATGGTTGGATTTACCCTACTCACTACACTTCCTGTAGGAGAGAAAATACCATCTATTTTAAATACCTAATATTTTCTCCCCAATTAAAATTAAAAGGTAATCTGTTAATTCAATATCATTATTTCACTTGAAACTACGACAAAGAAACTGAAAACCTGCAACAATTTGAAATGTTAGAATTGAGAGCAAAAAGTCACCCCTAATTACTTTTGATTGAAGATTTTTTTTTAAAGGAAAGACACAGAAAGATCTTCCATCCGCTGATTCACTCCCCAAGTAGCAACAATAGCCAAGCTGAGCTGATCTGAAGCCAGGAGCTTCCTCCAGGTCTCCCACATGGGTGCAGGGTCCCAAGGTTTTGGACCTTTCCCAGGCCATAAGCAAAGTGCTGGATGGCAAGTGAAACCTTGTGGGATCCTGGAACAAGTGAGGTGAGGAGTTAGCTACTGATCCGTTGCATCAAGCCCTGCTTTGTCTTAAAACTTATTCTAGTTCTACTGTGGGATTATAGTTTCTCAGTCAGTAAGTAGCATTTGATGGACTGCCTGCTGTATTTAATGAACTATGAATTTTAGAAATGTCTTAGTTGGGCCAGGCGCAGTAGTGTAATGGCTAAGGTCCTGGCCTTGCATGTGCTGGGATCCATATGGACTCCGTTTCCCATCCAACTCCCCGCCTGTGGCCTGGGAAAGCAGTCAAGGACGACCCAAAGCCTTGGGACCCTGCATCCATGTGGGAGACCCGGAAGAAGCTCCTGGATGCTGGCTCCGGACCAGCGCAGCTCTGGACATTGCAGCCACTTGGTGAGTGAATGAACGGATGGAAAATCTTCCTCTCAGTCTCTCCTCCTCTCTGTATATCTGACTTTGCAATAAAAATAAGTATTAAAAAAAAGAAATGTCTTAGTCAAACAGCTTAGCTGGACGTAATGATATCTACCACATGCCCTTTTTTAACATAACCCCACTGACTGACGCAGCCTAGTAATTTCTCTCTAACAATTCTTTCCTTTTCCCAATTCTGCATTGTTGATAGAAAACACATTCCTTGTACCCATCCTGTCAGTATAAAATCACTATTACTTTCTTTTTAAAAAAAATCTTGTTATAATCTACAGACCTTTACGTGGGCAAATGCTTCTTCAGGAAGCTGGTCCTTTGTGGTTCCATTCAAAGGGAAGTTGCTACAGATATCTTACCTCTGCATTTGGAGTACACGATCTTCTGATGAACCGAGCATCATTACCAAAAGTACGGGCATCCACACACATCTCTACACCATTGAATTTTGAGTAGAAGAGCACAAAAGGGTATGGTCTAGGGATACAATTAAAATTCCTGTAATTCTCAATACAGATAAAAAGCCTCCCCATGAATCCCTACATGAAGTGCATGCTGACAGAAACAGCAGCAGCCCTCTGCAATGCCCAGACTAGGAAAGCACCACAGGCTTCTCTGCTTGATTCAGGAACAAGCACAAAGCAAGGAAACCCTGGCTTGGACAGAAGTCATCATCCCCTCACACACTAAACAATCTGTAGATGTATTTGTACTTCTCCACTGACAAATACGAGCTTCTCCAAGTTACCACCTTTTCCCCAAGAGTACCCTACCCATCAGCACTATTTATACAGCAGCACTGTTCAGGCGAGCCCACTCCTCAATAAACAATGTTCTTACTTTTTAAAGAAATGCCCATTGACCTCAAACTGCTGTCGTAACATGACTTTCCCACGGTACTCTATGATAAGCGTGTCCAAAGCCAAGTCTCTCGCAGCCCTCAGGATCTTCCGGTGCTTTTGAACACGTGTGACTCTTCCCACCTGTAACTGAAGAAAGTCAGAGCATTAACGTCAGACAACAGCAATAGCAGTGTGGGAGACACTGAAAACTTTTTTTTTAAAGAAAAGTAAAGGCGTTACAAATACTTAAAATTTTATCTGTTTATGTCATGAAGGCAACAATCAGATATTTAAAAATTTGATATAAGCTCAAGTTTTTCCAGGGAATACATTCCACCTAGAGAACCTGACACTTTCAGAAAAGGCAAAAGATCAAAGAAAAATACACGATTAAGGTGTCAGTGGCTCTACGTCTAATGTAAGGAGAGCAAGTCTAATCTTCAACAAATCTTATATAATTCCAATCTAGGTTGTATAAAATCCTCCATTCTAATTCATCTGTGTTTGATTAGTTTAGAAGCCAGTTTAGAAGTATATATCTAGACCATTACCATGTAGAAGATGCTGTGGATAAAGATGACCTAAGTGGCTCTTTAAAGGTTTTGTACCTTTAGAAGAGACCGGAATTAGAACTCAAACTCTTCTTGGCTCTTAAAAAAACTCACAATTTACAGCTTTTAATTTCTTTGTCCTTACCTGCATTTGGGAACCGATCACGGTGTTATTGCAGGCCAATTCAGTTTTATTGATAGTGTCTAAAATGGCAGGTTTGCCCACAAACTCCTTGCTGGAATGTAGATGCTGTTCAAGGGCGTTCTGCACATCGGCACTGTATTGGTTAGTGAAAGCTTCTTCATATTCATCAGTCCATAGTCTTATCCGGTTCTCCCAGCCCTCAGTTGTATTTTCATCCAAGTTCTGTGCTTCAGAGGGAGAATTCTGTAGAGAACAAACATGAGGCAGGTTAGAGGAACCTACGTATAAGAATAGGAGTGGGAAACTAGTTAAATCCAGAGGAAATGTGCTTTCACTTGTCAGTTGGTGTGGTTCAGGAATAAAGGACTGGGAGTCAGAGGATCCAACTTCTACTACAGATTTGCTATCAGTCAGCTGTGAGGTCTCAGATAATTTCTTTTTTTTAAAGAAAAAGATTTATTTTTATTATTTTTTTATTGGAAAGGCGGATATACAGAGAGGAGAGACAGAGAGGAAGATCTTCTGTCCGACTATTCACTCCCTAAGTGAGTGCAATGGCCGATGCTATGCCGATCCAAAGCCAGGAGCCTCTTCCGGGTCTCCCACGCGGGTGCAGGGTCCCAAGGCTTTGGGCCGTCCTCGACTGCTCTCCCGGGCCACAGGCAAGGAGCTGGAAGGGAAGAGGGGCTGCCGGGATAGAACCGGCACCCATATGGGATCCCGGGCGTGCAAGGTGAGGACCTTAACCACTTGCGCCACCGCGGCAGGCCCGTTTCTTAAGAAAAATCAGCTTCTTCACTTAAAGTAGATACTCATCTAGATCACAGTTCATTGCCGTTACTGATTTTCTGTGACAACTTTTGAGTTGTAAAGTCAATTTGGTCTTATGAAAAGACCAACAAGTTCACACTGAAAATTCTGAGTAGAAATGAGCAGCAAAAACAAGTGTAATTATCACATAGAAAATACAAATTTTTGGGCCTGGCATGATTACTCAATTGGCGAATCCTCCCCCTGCAAATGTCGGGATGCCATATGGGCACTGGTTTATGTCCTGGCTGCTCCACTTCGCATTCAGCGCCCTGACTGTTGCCTGGAAAAGTAGTAGAGGATGGTCTAAAGCCCTGGAACCATACAACACTGCACAAGACCTGAAGGACACTCCAGGTTTCAGATTGGCTTAGTTCTGGTCATTGTGCCCATTTGGGGAGTGAATTAGTAGTGGATGGAAGATTTTACTATCTCTCAGTGACTCTGCCTTTTTAGTAAAAATCAGTAAGATAAATCTCAATATACATACGCCTATGCACAAATAAACAGATCTCCAATACTTAAAGAACAGGTGTGTCTGTCTGCTAGTCCAATCTTGTTCTCCAGTTCTCTAGGAGAGCAGTTTGCTTTCATTTACCGTTCTCATTCTAAAATTAATATATGTTCATTTTCAACAAACATGCAACCCTAATCAATTACAATCCTACCACCCCTAGAAAAAGTGATCACTTTCAGTAAATCCTCCTGTTGTCAACAACTAAAGATCAGGTAAAGTCAGGAGAGGGGAGCAGGCTGGAGGAATACAGGAAAATTTCCGAGAGGAACTTAGCCAGAGTCTTCTAGGAGAGCCACTGGCATCTATGAGACCACTGCATCCTCAATACTTTCAGGTGTGCATGAATTAGGGACAAAGCTTACGCCTGATAATCATTCAAAACCTCAGTGCCATCAGAAAACAAACAACAAACAGCCAATGACGAAGTCATTCTACTGATGATCAGAAAACACTGCAGTACAAATTTACTTGAAAAATCTATGTTCATGCTAAATTCCCCAAAAGCATATAAAATTAAATGTTTTTCATGACTTGCACACAAAACACTGATTCTTTCACTTTTTGTTACCACTCTAGATTAATTGCTGTCTACTATCCTTTCCCCAATAACAAGGAAATAGAAGAAAAAAATTAACAGCACCATTTTCTCATCAGAGTTAAAAAGAATAGGAAGCAAAGGAGTATTAAAAAACACATAAAGACAACACACAACAGCATTTCTATCTGCACAGTCTTCACGGGAGCAGATAAGCAGAGTATAGAACCTGAAATTCATATTTTAAAACAGAGAACGTGGTGTGGCCACACTGTACTCCAAGCTTACAGAACTCAGTGCAGGGCCCAGCACCATAGCGTACTTAGTGGCTATATCCTTGCCTTGCATCAGCCGGGATCCCATATGTCCATTGGTTTGTGCTCCACCCATCCAGTTCCCTGATTGTGGCCTGGGAAAGCCGTCGAGGATGGCTCAAAGCCTTGGGCCCTACACCTGCATGGCAGATCCAAAAGAAGCTCCTGGATCCTGGATTCAGATCGGCGCAGCTTTGGCTGTCATGGCCACTTGGCGAGTGAACCAGCAGACTTTTAAGATCTTTGCCTCTCCTTCTTTCTGTAAACCTTTTTCAATAAAAATAAATCAAAAACCAAAGCATCCAGTGGCGATGGCTCAATTATGACTTGTTCAAGTGCCTGTATTCTGGAAGCCCTGTCATGGCAACAAGCCAGGCTCGCTAATCTGATATTACTTTGTCCCAGCTGTCTGATCACTGGAGACTTCACCTCAGTGGCTTTTTGGCAGTGGATTTCAACTACATGAATTTTCCTCCTAAGAGACCTGTATGTTGATGAACATAAAGGGGCATATGTGAGTTTCTTTGGAACTTTGTGGGTAAACAGGGAGGCTCTGAAACATTTCACAATGGAAAAGATACAGAATTACTTGGTCAAAACCGTTCAAGGTTGAAGACCATTGGCTAAGGATTAAGTCTTTCATAGGAAAATTTTTTATTATAACACTGAAAATCCAAATTATTCTTGTGGTTCACATGCTGATTTTGGTGGACTTCTAAGATTTCTGAGCAAAACATGTGCATCTCAGAATCCTGAGATGATCCCAGCACAGTTCTCTGATGCCTCAGGGCTGAGGCCTGTCTCATCTCCCTGACACATCTCTGCTCTTTGACCTGTCAAGAGGCACACCAGCTAATGCTTCCAAACTGCCCACTCACACAACTACAATGTAATTCAAATAAAGCTTATGGTCACTGAATGTTTTAATGTTTCTATCTTGAAATCATCAATAGGAAAGGACCTATTCTTAACATCATGACACATTAACAAGTATTAATACTTATAGAGTGAAACCAGAGTTTAATATTAGTTAGATGCTTTGAATCATAAGTAAAGATTTGGGAGTATGCCATTTTCTTAAATTATATCCAGGTAAAAGATGATAACAAGCAGTGTCATCAAATATGCTTGCTTCCAACAAACTGTTTTTAATTAATGAGCATCAAATAGTCCTTTTAAGCCACACATAATTTTTCTATTCTCCAACCTTTTTACAAAAATAACATCTCATACTTTAGTTCAAAACTGGAAAGAAAAAAACTACAATAGCATCACCCGATTCTTCTGTGACAGCGAATATTGTTTAACTAATTACATTAAGAATAATTCCTATCAATATTGCAACTTTTCTGCTAATAAGATTTCTCCTTCCAACTGATAGCCAACACGTGCCGAGTGGGTGCACAAGAGATGCCGTATCATTCCCAGGGAAACCTCACGCGTGGGTCTGAGCCCAATGAGAGCTGACAGAACACAACAGTCTCATGTTTGGCAAAATGTCATTTGTCCTCTAAAAAAGAAGCTCTAACAGAAAAACCAATAAACAAAAGCCGATTCACAGAAAGTGAAAATATTTCAGAAAATGGCTGAGAAAATCAAACTTTGCAGAAAAGCTCTACAAAAACGGAGTGAGAGGCAACACTTACAAACTAAGGAAAAGCAGACTCTGACATTCCCAGACCATCACTGTCAGGAAAGAAGCCAATCAAAACACCGCGCCAGCAAAGAGGTCCCCCTTACCTTCATCCGCAAGGACTTCCGGGATCCCTCTCGAAAGGCCTATCCCAGAGAGGAAACAAGTAGAACAAAACAAAACTTGGTACCGAGAATGACAGTTAGACCTGAGACTAAAACTAATGTTCACGTTAGTCATCTATTTCGTCTCCTCCTCTCTAGGTAACAAATACAATTATCAAGAATAAGGGTCGCTGCACTCTGACACTAATTCCAATACATTTTCCTATGGAGCTATATAACAGGGAAGAGCATGCACCATTTAAAACCAACATGCATCCCTGGCAGTAGGAGAAAAAGTAGAAACCTTTCTTGCAGATTTACCAACTGTGGAATTGAGAAGGAAACAGAGACCAATCCCCTTACCAAGGGGTGGGCAAGTCAGCTAGGAGCAGCAGAGTTGCTGTGATGGGGAAGAAAGAACACACAGAAGAGGTTTCTCCAAAGACTACTGAGGGAGACTGCAGGAAGGTAACCATGACAACAAGGAAGCCAGGACCATTCAAGAAATGTTGCTTCATATTTTATTTCCTTTCCTTTTTTGAAACAACAGACAAGCCAGCCATGTGAGGTGGACATGTAACCAAGCCAAGAACTTCAAACTCTTCTCTGGGGGCTAAGGGGGTACATACTATAAGGACGCAAGCTACCAACAAATGAGAGCCTGTGCCAGGTATGGCCGGGACTGCATACCTGGGATGGAGACTGGAAGAGAAGAGGCTTAAGAGTTAGTGGTGATGCTGTGATGTGGCAGAAGAAAGGCTGCTCCCTATATTCTTTACACAAATTGGCTTTTTTTTTTTTTTTACACAGAGCAAAAGTGGCTCTTGAAGCATCTGAGGAGACCTTCTTGTAAGAACCTCGGTATACTCTTGCTTCAAAGTTTGAGCTGTTTGATTACATTTCTATTGAAGACATTTTCTCACCATCCGTACCTTGATTTTTTTCGTCTTTGGTGCTGCACGGCCCTTTTCTGGACTCTTTTTTCGCTTCTTGGGTTTGGTTCTTCTGACAGTTAGGGTGATGCTTGTAGGTGTGTGCTGTGTTGCCGTATACAACACAGTGGAAGGAGAAAGCTCCTCATCCCAGCTTTCTGTTGCACTGCTGTCCCCACCTGAAAAAGGGCAGTTTTGTAGTTTCCATACTAACAGCCTAAAAAGTGCTTTAAAAGCAGATGTGCCATGCCCTATATTGAGTAGGACAGTACTTAACTAATTCTGTCCTCTATTTATATAAATACTGCCTCTGTGATGAAAACAAGATTCTTTGATCATTGGCATCAAACGTACAACCCTATTGCTCAGTGTATCTTTGTCCTCCCTAAGCTCCAGGACACCAAACCCTCACAGACTCAGACAGGATCATTTCAGGGATCCATTTTATTTATTTTAGCAACATGGCTGAAATATGATTCCAATGTTTATTCTCAGGGAGAGAACTACACATGGTCCCAAATCAACTTCTACCTCTTTTTGTGAAAAGAGCAGGGAGCCAGGAGCACCTCAAGAGGGGCTCTTCGGAAGGACAATGTAGTCACAGAATCTTTAATGTCAGAATATGGGCCCACTCCGAATCCCACTCACCTGATATGTTGTCCTGCTTCCGCCGATGAAGTCTAATGACCTTCCCCCTGCTCATTCCCCTAAAGAGGGAAAATAGACTTCAAGTAGTCCTTCCAGGAGCAGCAGCACGTCACAGCACACATGGGAGAAGTATCTCTGCACACACTACCCCTTCCCTCCCACCTACCAAATGTTTCCAGGACATAAAATTTCATATCAAATTCAATAGCTTTAACATCAATCTCTCATTCCTTGTTGTCAGCAATTCTCACCTAGTGCAGAGAATTCGAGCCAAGGAGCACTAAGGAATCATCTACATTAACAAACACAAGAAAGAATACTTTGAGCTTTTCCCTACTAATGAGAAACCCTAACCCCAGCAACCCAGGCTTGGCTTTGGACGGAACAGGATCTTACCTGCACTTGTCACAGCTGAGGAGGAAGCCATCCTGAGAAAGAGCACAAGGACACCAGGTAGGCACAGTCTCTCCTTCAGAGTTCGGGCTGTCTCCACAGCGTCCCTCTGCGGGCGACGGCAGGCCGTTCAGGTCAGCGCGAGGGATGATCGTCTGGACAGGGGGAGAAGCAGGAGGTGTCGGAGGAGGAGGGGCTCCGTAATTATGATCCTGAAAATAAGATTGTTTAAATCAACAGTGTCCAAACACTGGCCCCTCTCTCCCCTAAAGTATGGTGCATATGGAAAGAAAGAAGAAAGTAGTACCCTTCGTTTTTTGGCTTCAACCAGGAAAGTGATAAAACAAAATGCCAAGGTCAACTGGGACATAAAAACAAGAACAATGATGCAGGGCTAGACGTCCGCTGGAGGCAGGGAAGTGCAAAAGGGGCAACTTCATCATGCTGCATATAAACATTTCAAGAAAGTCACAATGTATAAGAATGGTTTACACTCCAAGAAGATCACTGCTCTGGAAATAAACAAATGCATACTCACAGCATAAGGCAGTCCTCGACACCCATGCCTCTGAGTGGTCCCATAATTATGAGTGGAATACACGCTCTTCTCATTAACTGCTGGACTAGCCTCCACAGATTCAGGGCTGCACAAAGGCGAAAAGCAATGCATGATAGCATAACACCTAATCTTTCCTGAAACTGACACTTCACTTCCCAATCAAACCCCTCCTCTTTTCACAACACTAACCACTAGAATAAGAGAAAAAGACTCAGTGAAACAATCTGATGAACATAACTAGGCCTATAAATAACAGTAGGAATGCTACTGAATGTGGATGTGTGTGCAACATGAAGCCAGTACAGGCAGATGTCTGAAGGCAGGCACCTGGGAGACAAGGTGTCCCTAATGACAAACACAAACGTACCAGCTGAGCAGGGAGTTTCCCCTAGAGAAGCCACTCTGGGCTGGTTTAGACTCAGAACTATTCTTCTTAATTGGATCTCTTAATACTTCCATGAAACCTCACATGACATTTGCAGTGAGTGAGATGATGAAAGTGCCTTCTGCACTGCCCCAGGGACCAGGCCCTCTTCCATTCACTACCAAGACAGGATACCCTGAAGAAAGTAGTAAAAACAATGGCATCTTATATTTATCACACCTCTCATTTTGACGAACCCCCAACACCTTTCAAATATCAGAGTAATAATTTCTCATTCATGAGAGACATGCAAGCATATGAAGGATACAATTACTTAATAGCTGCATGATAATACCACAGAACTTCAAAATAATCAAAACCAAATGATTGTATTGGTTTATTAAGAAATAGCAGCAGTAGTGGTAAGTACTTTCAATCACCCGTTATTTGAGAGGTGCTCTCTCTCTCTCTATATATATATATATATTTAACTTGTGCAAATCACAATATGGTAAGTAGTATCATACTTTAACAGAGAGATAAACTGAGGCAGTGAGATGATTGGAGTTCCTGAAGGCATACTAATGACGGAGTCAGGATTTAAAATACCCATCTGACTCCAAAGCCTGTGCCCTCTCCATTATGGCCTCAAGTGAAAACCAGGGTAACATTCTACCTTTAATGAGACCTTCATTTTGCAAGCATAGTGAGTATTTCTTTAATGTATCTTCAATGGATGACAAAGTAACTATTCAACCTCAGTTTACTGTAAAAGCAATACAAACACCTTAAAGTTTAGAAATGTGAAATAAGCCTTTACTTGATAATAAAAAATATAGATGGCAAGGATAAAATTCAAATTTTTAAGAAAAAGGATTATTATCTGGCTATGTTTGGGGGGAAGTTTGAATGAGACAATTAAGGGATATAATTTGACAGAAGTGAATTACTATTAACTACCTACATTTTATACTTATTACAATAGAAGCAAGTTAGAAACTCCAAGGACTAACATTAGTCAAAGTAAGAGACCAATGTGTCTTTTCAGGAGTAAAATAACAGACATTTTTCCTGTTTGAAGATACAAAACATATAATAGTTGGTGGGAATAGGGTGCAGTTCAACATGGCACAGTGTCAGCTGCAAAGTGAGGGATAAAAGGAAATTCTGTGATGTGTCCCACTCACCAGGTTACATGCTCCAAAACGGGGAGGAGGGATCTTATTAAGAACAGCCAAAGGGATTTCTAGGTGAAGAAAAACTTCAGACACAGGAAAGTACTCTTTGTTAGTGAAGGGCATGCATTGTATTGCTCATTGTGTCTGCAAGGATGGGAACTGGGGAAGAGGGGACATCAAGAATGCAGGTCAGTATTCTTGAGAAAAAAGATGGTCTGAACATGGCTCACTGAGAGGCAATCAACTCTGAATGTTAGGAAACAGGTAGAGTTTCCTAAATCAACCAAAGGCAGACAAGCATTAATAAAATGGAGATCGAATTTGGTTTCTATGATGGACAGTTAAAAGCAAAGTAATGAATTTATATGACATAATTTAAGTATGTTACTAGGAAACTAAATATATTTCAAAGGTCCATATACATTGAATATTGGAGATTTTGTACCATTCAACACATAAGGTGAGACATGACGGCTGTTTATTAGGAATGGAACTTTTTACGGGGTGGGGATAGGAAAAAAAAAGTTGCATGAAATAAAAAAAATGGCCATGGAGATGGAGCTATGCTGGTTATATCTTACCCATCTCCAAACTGGGTAAATATGAACATATGCACTTCATGTGCAAGTCTAGGGAATAAAAATAAAATGTATAGTGTGGAGGTTAACAGGCCATCCCCCTATACAATATTTTCTACTCAGGCACAGCATTCAATAGATTGCTATGCATGCTAAAATTATCTTTTAAAGAGGAAACTGTAACTTTCATATTGGTTACTGATTAAATACAGATGAGTTCAGGTGACTACAATTTTTAGAATACTCTTTAACAAACATGAATTCTTGTACATTTTCCACGAATCTAATTGTTGCCTTTCCTTTATGATTAAACTCTTAGGAGAGGCACACACCCAAAACCCAGAGGAACAAGATACACGGTACATCAACTGTACACAATATGCAACCCACTGTGATGCTACCTTTGCAAAAAGCTGAAATCTGTTATGTTTATAAATTATGAAATAAAATGGACATTGCATATTGTTACTATTTAAAATTCCACGACAGGAAGTCTTTCACTTAGCTAAGTATGTTGTTTTTAATACCAGGTTTAACTTTTGGATGCTTTACAGCAGTGACATTACACATGCTTCATCATTCACAAGCATCATTCATAATTCAATAAATAGCACACATTTGTCTCCCTTTGCAGGAACACTAGCAACTGCATAATGATTTGGGACCACAGCACCAACAACCTACCTGTAGGCTGTGGATGACAATGCTGGAGTATAAACTAGAATACACTGGTATTAAAATGGACATTATAGTGTTTTACTCTTATAAGCATTATCTCATGTGTTCTGGAGAAAACACTAGCTAACAAACAAAACTGCCTGGAGTTTTTATGTTATTTCCTAATTCTATCTTATTGTTTGAACGGCTTTGCTGAAAAATCCTCACAAATATTAATGCTACCTCTTTATACGGTTAGTAAACCCACACAGAAGCAGCTTACTAATCTGACCTTATAAAAACCTCTAAACAGTATAACTGGGCTATCTACTAACACAGATTAAGTTATTTGGGGAAACAGCTATAAAACAGTCATAAAATTTGAAGTCTCAGCTATCCACATGACTAAATTTTTGTGGCATGCAAAAACAAAACATAAACCCAAAACACCAACCTCCCTCCAGCCCCCAAAATAATAAACCTCTAAAAGGAACACAATCCACCATTCCCGACCCCACCCACTTTGTTTTTAAATGGGAATAAACTTGAAAACTGCTTTCAATTCTAGGCCACCCCAGAATATCATATACTACTTTCTCAGGGTAGCTGTATTTGTCTTCTTTAAGAAACTCAAAACAGTTAAGTTATACAAAAACATGCATGCCCTTTAAATTCTGTTTTAAAGAAGAAAACAACTATTAACCAGGGATGCCATTCAACCCAGAATCTAGTACCACTGTTTTGCTTTGCTAAACGGGGAAGAATCCCCAGGGATTGTGAAAATGGCAAGAGAAACAGGGGAATTAGAGCAACACCCACCTCACTCAAGAAGTGGCTGTGGGATCAAGAGTCTGAACTGGACCTGAACATATTCAAAACACCAGGATTTTTCCAGCCCAGACCCTAATCCCTGGTACTGCCTGGAAAAGACTTGGCTTCTGGGGGTGTGCTGCCCCCTAGGCCCCTTGGGTCTCTTTCGCTGGACTTTCACATCCTGATGTAGTGCCACTTCGTCTTGAAAGGTAGGGGGCTTCCACTTCCTTTCTGTAAGCAAGGAAGATTGGGTACAAGGGAGGTAAAAGGACAAGAGGGGGAATCTGTGAGCAGGGGAATCTCGGACAACTTACAAGAAGGGGTACGAAAAGCTAAAAGTTTTAAAACTGTGAATAATATATAAAGTTGTATAATGAAGGCCTACCTTCATTGTCATTTAAATTCTTCAAGAACTGAGAGTCTATTTTAGGGATTGGGCTTTTCGACAAACTCTGTATTCCTAATGCTGCTCTTAGCTGAAAAAAAAGTTTGGTACCACTGATTTTGAAGGTCCTCTTTCTAGGCAACGAATATCATAAAAAAAAATCTAATGATACTGTTCTCCAATTTTTCTACCCCGAATGTCAGAAGGTCTATGCAACCTGCCCATGTAAATAAAGTTTTAGCCCACTTACTCCAGAACAATGGGAAATACATAGGAAGAGGCCTTCAAAGAAAATCAGCTGAACAGACACTTCACTTCCTTCTCTCTCTTCGTCAAAACAATTAACTCTACAAAAGCAGGCGGTAATACCTACTTTTTCAATCTTCCCCACCCATCAAAACAAATGAAAATATAATCACTATGCAATTTTCATTTAATTATTTATGCAGAACCCTTTCCCTAAAAGCTCTTCCCCACCCCCACTTCCTTCATTACCCCCCTTTTCCCCTTAGTTTTTATAGGGAGAAATAAAACGGCTAATGCCATTTAATGTGGGACAGGATTTGATTACCAATACATTAAATATCTGATTAGCTCCCCCTAAGCAACTATCTCTGCACAAACTGGTAATGTACCTAGCAACCCTAGAAAGCAGCACTTACTCTGACCCAGCAGCCATATCTGAGTAGGATGTATCTGGTGTGGTGACTCCCAGAGGGACTGCAATGCTCATGTCGTCCAACACAGAAGAGAGTGGAAATCACGGGGTCCAATTAATGGAGACTGACCACTCGGAGAGTGGGGGTGAGCTGCAGAGCCTCGTCCAACATGTTACGGACATGAGGAATCCTGTCACAAAAATCAAACAATCTGGTAACCAGAGGGTTTTTTAAACTTAGCAGAAATGCACTGAATATTTTTTCTCTTTGTTTGAATAAAGATTTTAAGCAATATTCACAGGTTTGGCATGGGCTCTTCAAATTGCCTTATGTTTACTAAGTACAGTAGTCAATCAATTTTCCACAATGTGGCAAGTTACTATACCTTTTAACTTTTATTTTGTCTTTTTCAAAGGGAAACAGTCATCTGCTTGATTCATTAACAAGCACATTTCCTTCAATATGTAGTTTATCCATTACATAAACAACATTTTCTGGCAGCCTACGACCTAGAATATGGTTTTCTAAAATACTAGCTTACTGTTAGAATTATCCTAGGTTTAACCAAATTCTTCAACAATTCAAGGGCTTTTTTCTAGACATTACCAGCAGACAATGTTACTTTTCAAATATATTAAAATAAATCAATTTGTCATTTGTATTGGAATGAATATAGCTATTTCTTACTGTCTTCTTTTGCCAGAAAACATTGTTCCTTCTTTTAAAACATTTATCTTAAAGTGTATTTGGGGGAGAGATGCAATTATGTTAAACTATAATTTTGAGGTAATATAAACAATACTAGATATAAATAAAAACGTAAGCTACAAGGGAGTACTAGAAATCTCTGCAACTTCTGTCCAATTTTGCTGTACACTTACACCTTCTCTGAAAAAAAAAAAATCGGTATCTGTTTAAAAAAAACAACTCATGAAAACCTGAATGACACAGAGTAGTTTCCTGATAAAGGTGAGATGAATGATCTGGTCACCATGAACCAATGTACTATAGAAAAGGAAGACATATAAACTAGTTAGGAGTTCTGGCCTCTGCTGAAGATGCTCAGGACCCGCCCTGGAGGGCTGCATTCCACAGCTGCTCTGGCTGCTGACTCTAGCTCCCGCCAACACTGAGCCGTTAGTGACAGCTTTGGTTGTTGGCATTTCAGAAATGAATGGGCAGATGGGGATTTTTCTCTCTGCCTTTCAGATAAGTACTTGTAGACTAAAAGATTTGAGAACTTGGTACAAAGGGAAAAGATGCTCTTCCATCTGCTGATTCACTCCTCAAGCGGCTGCAATGGCCGGAGCTGTGCTGATTCAAAGCCAGGAGCCTCTTCTGGGTCTCCCATGCAGGTGCAGGGTGTTAAGCCTCTGGGCCACTTGCATTGCTTTCCCAGGCCACAAGCAGGGAGCTCGATGGGAAGTGAGGCCACAGGAATTAGAACTGGTGCCCATATAGGATCCGGGCACGTGCAAGGGAAGGACTTTAGCAGCTAGGCTACTGTACCAGGCCCTGAATCTTATTTGATATTTGAAGAACGATGTGGACAAGAGAACCAACTGGGAATGAGTCAGCAAAATATGTAAGAATATACACAGGTAACACTTTGAGTGACATCTTAGAATGCTGGACTAATCATAAATCATGACTCTTTACTCTAATAGTGCTTCTAATTGGTATATATCTTCCAACTCCTTGGGAAACTGAACTGTAACCTGCAAATGATAGAACACAGATCCCTTACAAAAAGGCACAGTTAAATATTAGAAGCTGCTGCCCATAATTTTCATTTTAACATCACTGTAATATGCAGATTAAAATGGAGAACCCCAAAACCCAATTAACTGCTTTCGCTAGAAAATCAAAGTTTGATAACCACCAAAATATCCTTCACTAGAAAAAAGAATCAGAATAATGTGTTGTATTTTCTTAAAAACATTTACCTCTAAAGGCAGAGTGACATACAAATGAAGATAGAGAGATCTTTCATCTACTGGCTCATTCCCAAATTGTTACAACCATCAGGGCTGGGCCCAGCTGAGGCTACAGGTGGCAGGAACTGAAGTACCTGAGCCATCCTCTGCGGCCTTGGAGGTGCATTAGCAGGAAGCTGGAGCCAAAGCATGGAGCAGCAAGGACTTATCACTGGAATAGGCTCTCCGATATGGGGTTGCAGAGTCACAATGAAGGCTTACATGTTATGTTTTGAGGAAAGGAAGGACGGACATTCAAAAAACCTCATTCATTAGCCTCTGTCAAACACACACTTTTACATGTAAAAGAAAACTTACAATTCTAAACTGACAGTTGGTATGTGTTCTTAAAGATTTACTTTGTTTATTTGAAAGGCAGAGTTACAGAGACAGAGAGAGAACAACGTCTCCCATCCGCTGGTTCACTCCAAAACCAGGAACTTTTGGTCTCTTACATGGGTGCAGGGCCCAAGCACTTGGGCCATCCTCTGCTGCTTTCCCAGGCACACCAGAAGGGGCTGGATTAGAAGTAAGCGGCAGCATTTCATTATAGTAGGATAAGTCTCCACGTACTATACTGGCATTCTCTATGGGTGCTGGTTCATGTTCTAGCTACTCCATTTTTGAAATAATTCCCTGCTGATGTGTCTTGGAAAGCAGCAGAGGATGGCTGAAAGTCCTTGGGCCCTGATGGCCATTTGAGGAGTGAACTGGTGGAAGAAAGCTCTCTGTCTTTTCTCTTTGAAACTCGTTTTTCCAAATAAAAATAAACACATCTCTCTAAAAAAAAAAAAAAAAAGTGGAGCAGCAGAAATACTAACTGGAGCTTATATGGGATATTAGCATTGCAGGTGGTAACCCAATCTGCTCTGTGCAGCACTGGACCAAGTATATATTTTTTCCTGACAAATTTTTGAAGTACATACTGTAAAGCAAAAAAGAAAAAGTTAATCTCTACATTCCCTACAGAAAACCCAACTCAGCTATTTTTGACAGCTGACAACTTCTTTTAAAATTAATTTATCTTTTATTGGAAAGGCAAATTTATAGAAGGAAAGAGAGACAAAGCTGATCTTCCTTCCATTGGTTCATTGTCCAAGTGGCTGCAACAGCCAGAGCTGAGCTGAATGGAAGCCAGGAGCGTCTTCTGGGTCTCCGTTACTTCTCATTCTAAATCATGCCTTAATACAGAGGATGCTGATGCCAGTTCTGACAAAAACCTTTCAGTTCTCATACATAACCCTCCCTGAATTCAGGCCAAATGCTAACTAGAGAACTATTAACATACCACTGGTATGCAAGATTTTTCTTTAAAGATTACTGATTTAAGATTTACTTAGTTGTTTTAAAGTTGAAAGGATTTACAGAGTGAGAAGTAGAGGCCAATCCGAAAAGTGCTGATTGACTCCCCAAATGGTCGCAACGTCTGGGCCAGCAGCTAACTGGGTCCCCCTGCGCCGCCCTTCCCGTGGTCATCCTCTGCTGCTTTCCCAGGCTCGTTAGCAGGAGGCTGGATCAGAAGAGGAGTAGCCAGAACTCAAACTGACACTCATGTGGAATGCCGGCACTGCAAGTGGAGAATCTAACCTACTAAGCCATGATCCTAAAGATTTGTTTATTTGAAGGGTAGAGGCACAGCAACAGACAGAAACCAAAATGAGGAATCTTCCAATTGCCAATTTACTCCCCCAATATTTGGCAACCACCAAGGCTGGGTCAGGCTGAATCCAGGAGACCAGAACTCTACCTGGGTCTCCCAGGGGGTGGCAGGGCCACTTTGGCCATCTTTTGCTGCTTTGTCTGGTGCATCAGAAGGGAGCTAAATTGGGGGCAGAACAGGCAGGACTGGCACGGGTGCTACTATGAGAGGTCAGCATCACAGACAGCTGCTTAGCAACTAAGCCCCAATATCCTCTAAGATTTTCTTAACAGCCTACTATTATAATTCTAAACAACTGATTCCTTAAGACAAAGGCTGAGTAGCTATAGTTATTAATTTCAATTTGGAGATGTGTCCTGAAGATATTAAGAATTCACTGTCTCCAGGTGGAACAATTTCATTATCACTCTGTCTCTTCCTACCATAATATAATCTGAAAGGAGCATGAATTTTGGTCTTTTTTTTTTTTTTTTTAAATCAACTACTGTAGTTCTCACCAGAATTAAACCAGATAAACAGAGAAGGTTCAGGAAATATTTGCTGAATCAACCATGAGCACCACTGCCACATATGATTTCAGGTCATTAAAATGGGTTGGGGGGTCGACGCGGCGGAGCACTCAACATAAGAAACCAACCAGAAATTAAAAAGGATTTACTTAAGCCAGTCACCTTTATATAGACCTCTGAATAGGAAGTCCCCCCAAATTATTTGCCAGTAGATCTGAAGACCTAGAAAAAGTTGAGACACAAATTAGCATAGTAATCTAAGGGTACACAGAATACAATTCTACAGATACATTCACGAGAATTTTGTTTAATTTTGGTATACTGTACTGCTGTCTACCATTCCATGTTCTATCTAGCACTAAATATCTGTTTTGTAACCTTCATAGTCCGTTTTCCTAGAAAACCAGAAACTAAGTAGAAGGCGAGGAAGCAGTTCACCCTCCATCACTGAAGGACGCTGGGAATCAGAATGCCTGTCAATTTCCCATTTGTTTTTGCCAAGTGGCGCTTCTTCACAGCTAAACCCTTCTCCAATTTAGTGGCTTATCTTTCACTCAAAGTTAAACTTACTTTTCAGCTAGACAAGTGCACACCAACAGCTATGTAAAAAGTTCATATTATTCCTTTTGTCTACCTCATCACAGCCTCTTATCCTCCTGTACTACTGACAAAAGTTGAGTTGCACTCGTGGTCAACTTCACAATGGAAAACATGCTGAAAAGTGGAGCTTATATTTGATTTTTCTCTTCTCAAACAGACATCCCAGAAGTTTTTTTGGGAAAATCATCAGTTTTTATTATATCTGTTAGTTTTTTTCCCAAGGAGTCTTTTTTATTATTTTTTTTTTTTTAAAGATTTATAGTTCACTCCCCAAGTGACTGCAACAGCCAGAGTGCAACAGTTGCAGGGAACCAGAAGCTTCTTCCAGCTCTCCCATGGGGGGGGGTTGGGGTCCCGGTGGCAAGGCTTTAATTGGGCTGCCCTTTGCTGCTTTCCCAGGCCACAAGCAGGGAGCTGGAAAGGAAGTGGAGCAGCTGGAACACGCCTGGCATCCATATAGGATCCCAGCAGCTACAAGGTTAACCACCAGGCTATTGTCCTGGGCTCAGGAGTCAAATTTAATACTAGTCACAGTAAATTATCAACACCTGGAATGTGTTAATACATCAGACATGAAAAAAAAGCCATTCATACAATTTCAGTTACCATGATTACACTATGTCAAATTTATATTGCTTTTTAAAAAAGATTAATTTTATTGCAAAGTCAGATATGCAGAGAGGAGGAGAGATAGAAAGATCTTCCATCTGACGATTCACTCCCTACGTGATCACAATGGCTACAACTGAGCCAAACCGAAGTCAGGGACCCGGAGCCTCTTCTGGGTCTCCCACACAGGTGCAGGGTCCTAAGGCTTTGGGCCATCCTCATCTGCTTTCCCAGGTCAGAAGCAGGGAGCTGGATGGGAAGTGAGGCCACCAGGATCCCACTGCGCTCAAGGCGAGGACTCTGGGCCATGGCGTGGGGCCCATATTGCTATTCAATGGTTTTCTATTTTAAAACCAGAAAATAAAGTATGCTTTAAAAACAATTATAAATAATATACTTAAAACTCTAAAAACAGAAGGGATACAAGTGTACTGGTGAAAGGAAGTAAGCCGAGGTAGCAGTATTTTTTTCAAGCACCCGCAATTTTGAAAAGGAGACAGTAACAGGAGGAAAGTACATGAGTCAGCATACAAGAGACGCTTCAATTCAACAGAATTAGCACTAAAAGAACACTCTACTAGAATCCACAGGCACAGCAGAGACCACAGTTGCTAAGCTCCAACAAGCGGGTGGATTCAGAAGCAGAACCAGCTCCCATGTACTCTGTGAGAAGTCACCATTTAAAGTTTCCAGCGAAAAGGATGTTTAAAAGAACATGCCAGAAACGATTTATCATTATCCTATCTTTTTAACTGTATTTGGAAATGGTCAAGTTTCTATATTACAATCCTGACAGTCTCTTCCTTCTGTGACCTGGAAAAAAAAAAAAAAGAAAGAAAAAACAAAAACCAACACAAGACCTGTATGATATGCTTGGTCACCCGCAAAGATGACAAACAAAAAGTGTTTTAAGAATCCACCAGAGATTTCAGAAGAAATTGCATCAGACAGGTGAGCCGGAAGCAGCTGGGGGACAAGAATTCAGTAAATACCCAATCCAATGAAAGAAATTCAGAACAAGTCAGCTTCAGTACTCTTGCGAAGCCGCCTGGCAGGAGAGGAGTGTGGCGGCAGCAAAGAGAGCAGGCCTCACATGCTTCAGACAGTCCTTGCATTGAGGCTGTGGACCTTGGCTGTTCTCCCAGAAATGATGCAATCTTGATGAACAAGATCTGCTGCCAGAAAAACAATTGTTAACAGCCTCTGCAGACAGCAACTCAGCCAAAAAGCCATCTCTGACCCAGCTCTCCATAAACCACCAGATTGCCAAAACTCTTCCTCAATTTCATATACTTAGATACACAAGCCATTTTCTCAAAATGTCCTTTTTCTTTTAATAGCTCAGGCTTTACAATACTCATTACTGATCACTAAGTTTAAATAAAGCACCGAGTATTTTTTACTTCTATATTTTTTCAAGCATACTGACAGTAAGGAATTTATATACTGAAAATTTGCATTTATATTTCTCCCATAAGAAACTCTTTGGGGAAGTAGCGGCTACCTACCAAGTGTGAAAACTGCCACGGAATCTAGCACCCAAATAAAAGATTTCCAAGTCCAAATAGGCAGTACTGCATAGTATTAGACCCAAAGCAGTTTACTTCATAGACACTTGTTTAAAAAAATCTATTTTTATTTAAAAAGCAGATCTACAGCAATGAGAGAGACAGAGATATCCATCTGCTAGTCTACTCCATAAATGGCTACAACAGCCAGAGCTGAGCTGATTTGAAGCTAGGAGGCAGGAGCTTCTTCCAGGTCTCCCACGGGGTTGCCAAGAGCAAAGGATCTGAGCCATCTTCCACTGCCTTCCCAGGTCACAGGCAGGAAGCTGGATTGAAAGTACAATAGCTGGAACATGAACCGGCACCCATATGGGATGCCAAGTGTCGTTTTAGCCTGTTGGGCTAATGTACCGGCCCCTCGCAGATACCTTTGAAACTATGTAAATCATATCATGTTGAATATTGACATCTATCAGAGAAAAATTTCTTTTGTGAAGCTTGACACAAAGTAGATGGAACAGCACTGACACACAATGTTATTCTTAATGTCCCCTTTTCTGAGAACATTGGTTCAGATCTTACTATGGTGCCAAAAGCTTGTTTTTATGTTGTGACTCACAATTTACCATTTACATGCCAAAGTGAAAATATTCTTAATCTAAAAATCTCCCAAAAACTCTCATTTACCAGGCCTGGTTTCTTTTTAACTTTAGATATCAAATTATTCATGCATTATTGTATTCTTCTTATTTACTAATAAAAGCTTGCATACAATAAATCTCAGTTCTCCAGATTCCAACTAGTCAGAAGTTACAAAGCAACTTTCTTGTGTGAAAGCAGCTGCCCTTTAACACTACCTAAAATATATTCTGGGGCCTAGTGTTACAGCTTAGTGGCTAAACTCCTCACCTTGCATCCACAGGAATCATATATGGATGCTGGTTCCTGTCCTGGCTACTCTACTTCCCATCCAGCTCCCTGCCTGTGGTCTGGGAAAGCAGTTGAGGACGGTCCAAAGCCTTGGGACCCTGCACCCACATGGGAGACCTGGAAAAGGATCCGGGCTCTGGATTGGCTCAACTCTGGCCATTGCAGCCATGTGGGGGGTGAACCAGAAGATGGAAGATCTCTCTGTATCTCCTTCTCTCTGTAGATGAATCTTTCCAACAAAAATAAATAAATCTTAAAAATTAAAAAAAAGAGCCTGAAATCAACATCATTTTATTTATTCTACAGAATAATGAACCAACAGGTAAGACAGGAGAGCCTAGAAGCATTCAATGATTTTAATAGGACTGGAAATAAATACATTTAATTCAGTTAAGAACAAAAACAAAAAAACTTCTCCAGATAGTTAAAATAGCCATTAAGCGAGACTGGCAGCAATTCAGAACTGTTGAACCATCAAAACCACTTTAGCAGTGCCCTCGGAGCATGCCCCACATCTGGGACCTGGAATGGGTGGGAGGCCTTTATCTCCCACTTTACCCCAGATACAGAAAAAGGGGGCGGGGGATGTGGAAACAGTGGTCTTATCTACTTTCCCGTAGTCTTTGACCCTTTGTGCCATAATCAATTAGTAAAGATTATCAAAATAAAATAATAATTTAATAAAATTAAAAAATAAAGCAGCCATTAAAACTCAATTTCTGAATGTGGTTATTCAGAATTTGATTACTTGTTATACAAGAAAGTTGAGCATTAATTAGTTTCATTTCTCTTTTGTTGACTATATAAATAGTAAAAAAGTGAAATGGGAAAATATCAAGAATTTTTTGCGTGACAACTTTCACTTTCAACTTAATTTTTAAATCAAAGAAGTTTAAAACGCAGGATACCTGACACTTTTATCTGTATGTGCAGCTGGTCTGAGAACTAATGTGGCAGTTCTGATGGTCTCATTGTCCTTTTCCAGTCAAAGCCCAAGTAAATACCCCTCCAGATGCATACAGCTTGGGAGCAGGAAAAGCAGCACAAAAGTGAAGAAACTGCCATGCTAGCCTACAACTCAATTAGTTTGCTGACCTCAGAAAAAATCATTTTATACAGATTAACTCTAAAAATTTCAAAATAAAGGCTTCATTGTATTCCTCCTGCTCCAAGTTTCTATGAATCCCTAGTTTTTACTGCCAACTAGCTGAGGCAATGTAGGTCACGTCTTCGAGTCAGCTTTCCCATCCATAGAACAAACCACAGCTAAATGAGTTTAAGTGGGTTTCTGGTCCAAGGAGAATGTGTGAAGATGCCTAAAAATTATTTCCACTTCTCCATCAGCCTGCATTCCAGCTACACTACATCAGATAACATGGAAACAAAGGATGGAGAGATGGGCTAAGCATCAGAAGGAAATAAGGGTATTGCTAGGAAATAAGGAGATGACCTCTAAGCATAAAGAGGTGGAGCAAAAAGTCTGTGACTGGGACAGCCTAAGTTATAGCGAGGCGAGTTAATGCAAACAAAGAATCCAGGGTAAAGTCAGAAAAGGAACCAAATATTTGGATAAATGCTAAAAGGTTAAAGAAACAATATACTTAGTAACTTAGAACCAAGACAAAATTTTGCTTTCTCCAAACTCTTCTACAACACCAGTTTATCCCCCTGATTCCTGTGCTTCAATCTGTCTTCTTTCTAGGGGCCACTAGATTTGGCATAACGAATTAATGTCTATACATGCTCTAAGTCTATGTAAATAGCAGGCAAGGAAAAGCCCAAACCAAAACAAAAAACCCACAATGAATCCATACTATGAATATCCCTCCAAAAAAAACCAACAAAAAACAATAAAGCCGTATCATACTTTAGTACTACCTGGGATGAGGAACACCAGTAGTAGGATAAGACTGTAAATGTAAGTGAAATTATTTTAAGCTAAAAAAGAAAAGGAGTATTTTGTTTTCACAACATTAGCAATGACCAGATACTTACTGAAATGATACTATGCCTAGATTCCTTGTATACTTCACAATTAGGCTGCTAAGTATAAAATGAAAGTGATGTTTACAAATCTACATTCCTTAACTCTGCCACAGGGTAGGTACTAACTATGAGGCTCAACAGGCTTTAGGACCTGCAGGAAGGTGGCCATTCCTGCTTTTACACCTTCC